AAAAAATGTTTTAAGTTCTTATAATTAAAAATCATTTTCATTTATTTCCTTATTTCGTCGTAATGAATTTTTATAAGAAATTATTGTGTTTTAAAATATTTACTAATAGAATGGTTTTTGTTTAATAATGAATGACAACAACAAAAATTCATTTCTTTTTGTTGTGTCACAATTCATTATTATTGAGAAATTTTTAGTTTTATTTTTTAACTGATTAAAAATTAAATTTGATATGTATATTCATATTATTAATAAATATATTAGCAAATATTTTAAAAATTATACATTTTATAAAAACGACAGAATTATTTTTTATTATGACAAGCGTTATGACAAAATGAGGAAGCATATAAAATGATTTTTAATTATAAAAATATGAAACTTTATAAATATAAAAAATTTCATAAAAACAAATTAATTTGAAAAAAAATTTAGAATTATTTTGTTATATTAAAAAACAGTTAAAAAGATATTATTATCACGATTAAGTATCGATTACACGGTATTAAAATTCAGAACTAATAAATATATTTATATATAAAAACAAGTTCAATGGCACGACACTATTTTTTTTTATAGAACCTGAACAATTGAAACAACAACATTATTGTTTTATTCTAAGCAATTGCTCTGCATATTTATATACATATGTATATGAGTTGTTTGTAGATGAGAAAAGAACATGTGCATTATATATATATGTACGTATATATATATATATATATATATTCGTTAATTTCTTTAATAAAAAACCGTTTGATTGGACTTTTTTTTGTAAAACAGGAAAGCATACATGATATTATTTATTTTCTTTATGTCAGTTTTTAAATAAAATTTTTATTCATGTTTTTAAAATTTTAATTAAAATAATATTTTGCTAAATTACTATATAAAAGTAAATTTGTTTTAATTTAAATAAATTGTTATTCTTGATGCTTTAAAATTCAATTAAAATAACATATTTTAAATGAATTCTGTAATAACACAAATATTCTGTTCCAAATAGACCTGCATTGTTATCGGCAAAATAACATCACAGTACTGCTAAGCAGCTTTGATAACAATTTGCAACCAACAGCTGATATATGTATATTATCTGGCTGCCACCCGCTTTTCTTAGCTGTCGTTGTGATGAGATCGTAAAATGATCGCACGCATCGAAAAAAATTTGTGTTTGTAGTGTACTCAATAGAACGCCAAGAATTTTGCAGAAACACCTTGCGATTGACAATAACAATTAGATATGTACACACACTCACAGTAATTACGCTAATACTAGTACTAATGTCAGTCGGTAGCTATCTCAGTCCCAGACCCTGCTTTTGCTAAAATACTAAATATTATATTGTATTATATTTGTATTATTTTTATTGTATAATAGAAATTGGCAATTGCTATGAACATATTACAATACGAAAGAACAAAAATTAAAAAAAAAAAATAAGGTGACTAGACAAACGCAGGCTTTAGGCTGAGAATTCCTAAGCAAAGCATTAATAAAAAGTTTAGTATATTTTTTTATAAAAAACTTTTAACGAAAAATGATCACTTTTTGAAAAAAACTCTTTAGTGAAAAAAAAAACCAATTTTCACTACTACAATAATACTTCGATGATACTAGCAAAATCAAAGAGTAGCACTAATACTAGTATTAATTTGCACTACTTGCGAAAATATGAGAGAGAGTTTTAAATTCTAATAATTTCACATTTAAGTATTTTTTATATTTTTATTTAATAAATTTTAATTTAATTATTAAAATTTTAGTGACTTTTAACTATAAAATAAAAAAAAAAGTATAATTATATTCATTTTAATAGTTTATATTAAAATGAAGTAGAAATTCACTGCTCGATTGTTTCATGTAAAATGCATACCACTTTAACACAAACGAACTTACTATTTGGGACTCACAATGCAAAATTGCACTTTCTCAGAGCACAAAAGCGTCTACTTCGTCTCTATTCTGTATTTACTCTCTGCATGCTCAGCAAAGAAAAAATGCTCGCTCAGTTTCAATGTGTACGATCCTGCGCTACCATGAAAACTTTGTTTTAACTTTATACTAATGAATGTATTATATGATGCAACATTTTAGTTATACCAATACATTTAATATATCTATGTGTATATATGTGTGTGTTAACTGACTCATGATTAGATTTGTGTTAGCATGCAAACATATATTCTTATTTTAGACGCACACACTTAAAGGTATGAATAGTGTTGCTTACTCACATACAAACATCCATTTGACTTTGTGGCATAGACCGAAAAAGGGAGCGGAATGAAAACCCAGAAACGTGAACGGGTGTATATCTATCTGTCTACCTATACATGCGTCTGTCCGCCCTGTCTGTCTATCCATCAACAATATGACAATTTTCGGTACAGCGCAGAATACACGAAAATGAATGGTATCAAATTGCCTCATATAAAAAGGAACGGTGCCGGCTGTGTTGGTCAGAACGGCTTTCGAACGCGTAAGTGCAACATCTTTTGTTGGATATTAACAATTTGGTTTTTGATAAAAAAAAAAGCTGAATACTTTAAGATATTCATAAATTTTAAGAAAAAGAGCGAAAACATTTTAATTAATTTGATTGTGTTTAAGGTCCTTCGGGTAACCTTCAAGAAAACAAAAATTCAATATATAAAAGAATTAAAATATATTTTCTAAAATTAAAATTTTTATACAATAATTTATATATAAAGTGTTTAATACTAAAAGATTTTAAAAACAGTGTTCTTAATACATGAAAAAATGCTTTAAAATTACACACATAAAAGGATTACCTAACGGATACTATGGATTAACTCATTTATGTGGATTACTATATGACATACTACAATCAAAACTAGTAAAATATCAAAAGAATGAATAAAATCAAAATATGAAAACATAGAATTTAGTATAAAGTAATAAAATTGAAAGTGACTATTAGTTTTAAAAAGAAATTTTTTTGAAGTTTCAATATCTATCATACAAGATATATATATTTAAAATAATAATTCATGTATAAAGGAATTATTAAAAGATACTGAATAATTTACTTAATGTGCTTAAAGTGCCTTGATAACCGCTTTTTATCGATAATCTATCAGCAAATCGAAAAAAAAAACTTGGATTGGATTATAATTTAATGCTTTTAATGCTTTATTAACAGATAGCGAAAAATATGACTGTGTAATAGAATAAAAAAAAATTTTTTTTTGATTAAAACATTTTAAAATTATACACAATATGTTAATATGTCAATGTCATATGAAGAGAACTTTCGCATAACATATAATCGCCTTTGCAAGTGATACTTCTAACAAGTGGCTTTAAAACGACAAAACGATGAGTCACGAGCATTCACGAAGTGCTGCCTTTACTTAGAATTAACATCATTGACAATGAAGATACATCAGATATACAAATGGCTTAAATATATTGGATTTAATCAGATTTATTGCAAATAAATAATAAAATATAATTAAATACAACAGTAAAAATTAAAGCGAATTTAAATAAAAACAGAAAGCACTTAAACAATTTTTGTAATTTTTTGTAATCAAATTTTTGTAATTAAATAATGAGATTAGTAATTAAATAATGAGATTAGTAATTAATATTCTTTGCTTTTTTTAAAACATCCCTGCAGAAATTATACTGAAACTGAAAAAAAAACTTTTCAAGACAATTGAATTTTGATAAGCAAGTTTTAATATAATGTCAATTTTTTAAGATATTTTTGTTAACTTAAAATAATTTGTCAGTAGAGCAATATCTTACAGAGTTAACTTTATTACTGTTCATTTAATTAAAAAAAATATATTGTAAGAATTTTGATATAATCTTTACAAATTCAAAAATTTCTATTTAAATATCTAATTTCATGAAACTGAACCTTTAGTTATAGAGAATTTTTTTAAAATTATGTTTAATTAGATTCTAATTTACTGAACAACATATTTCAAAATTTTTTCAATAAACAAAAAATTATCTGAAGTCTTCAGCATTCCTCCTAAAATTTTGAAATGTATATAAAAATATACAATATTTGAGAAATTTTTTTAAAATACAAAAAATAAAACAAATTAATTTAATTGGTTATAAAAGTACTATATAAGAATTAAAATGTAGTTGAGTGTCAGGAGAGTTAAAAAAGATTTAAAAAAAACAATGATAAATTAACTAAAAATTAATCATTGGCCTTTGTTATAAATATATTAAAGGGAGATAGCAAACATTATATCTTGCCAATTTCCTTATACTAAATTCTTAAAAAAGATTGATTTGCCGTTGCAAAGTGATTTCATACCTGTTACAACAAAAGCAAGCACATCAACTATAAAAATTATAAAAACAACAAGCCGAAATTGCCACATTTTTAGCCATAGACCCATGGTATCCGGTGTTTTTCTTTTACACAGTATCAAAAATATTTTAATCATTAAAATTAAAAAGAGATAGCAATAGCACAAAATTTGTGCACAATAATTAAGTAATACCATGGCCATAATGAGCTTTTGCATGCCATGCTCAGAAAAACGAAGATTTTCGTATAAGGTTCGGGTTCGCCTTTAGTTGCTGCATTCACGAGAGCATACACACACATACACACATATGCTCACACATGCTACTTCGATACGAAAACATAGCATTTCGAAATAAATTTGAGAATTTTTAAAAATAACACGTTGTGTCGAAAATTTTGCTGTTGTTGTTTGCTGTTATTTTGATATGTATACACACAAGCTCATTGGTATATATATATATACATATAAACACATATATATTTATATATCTAATACTTGATGATTTTCCTTGGGAAAATGCCGATACGTTAAAAATTTTTTTTTCATCTTTAGAATTCATTGCGATATCGCAACTCGGGCGTTTTAGTACAACTTCAGCGAATTTAAGCAATTTTAAATAATTTAATTTATGTTTTCTGTGCTAAAGTTTTAATTAAAATAAAAAGTGTTTTTAAAAAATTATTTTTAAATTTTTTGAAAAGAAAAAAAATTTTTGAAACGAACGCACAAGAAAGTGAAAATCCTTAAAAAGCGCGCTTGAAGTAAGTTCAGCAACTAAAGAGTAGTACATTTAGATAGAGTGTTAGAAATGAGTGTTAAGAAAAAAGAGTAATGAGTAGAAAATTATGAATACTTGAATTTTATTTTTTTTTTTAATAATTAGAGAGTCATAATAATCAAGAAGTAATACAATTTTACATAATCATATGATCAATTTCTGAAATAAGTTAATCTACTGTATACTGTACTGTACAGTAAATAAAATATAAAAAAATAATATATTTTTTGCAAATATTTTGAAAATATATTTTACGTAACTTCTCTGCAACGACGCCCAAGTATTTCAAATGTGTATTTTCCTGCTGCTTTACACACATGCATACACACTAATAAGTAATCATCGCTAGCCTACTTGAGGGAACGATCGTATTGGCGCGTGTATGCCACTGTTCTATGTTTAGCAGCAACCCACACAATTGTGCTCACTTGTTAAAGGTGTTTTTGGTGTATTTGGTGTATTTGTGTTGTGTCTCCTAAGCATTGCCGTGCAACACAATAAAATACAACTTAATCACGTAACAATAAATTCTGCTGGTAACAACCCTGACTATTACTATTACTCTATGGCACACATGCGTTAACGGTGACGTATAAGTAACTTTCAGATTCTGTAGGAAGTTAGTATATATTTTACCTAACTCACAAAAATAAGCTAGTAAATTAATTATATAACAAAAAAAATAAATATTTAAATGGCATTAATTTGGTCTGCATTTTTTACAAATTAGTAAATAAAAAAAATATATAAGAAGAAAGCATATATCATTCGGCACATTTGTGAGAACAAATAAAATATCGGATTACGATCCGTTTTTGTGCAAAGCATTTTACTTATATGGAAATTTCATGAAAAATTCCGTTTGTGCTCAGAGCAAAAATATTTAAAAATAAAAAAGCAGCATAGAATACTGAACTGAAAACAAAACAAAAAATTAGAAACGCAAAATAGAAAATAAATAAAAAGAAAATAAAAAGAAAAATTTTAAATGGGACAATTGTTGAAAATAAAAACCACTACATAAAATTATTTTACGTGTGTTTAAAGCATTTTTATAAGAAAAAAATATTTAAAATAAATTCTGTTAAAATATAAAATACAAAATAATTAATATATTAAATATATTTGTATAAAAATAATACTTTTTATATATGTTAAAAAAACATACTTTATTTTGAAATAAGAACATATTTATAAAAAAAAATTTGCACAAAAAAAGAAATTACAAAATAAAATCCTTAATATATACAAAAATATTAAAACATATCTAATTAAAATATAATAAAATTAATTATAAAAAATTTTTATAAAATAAATTTATAATATAAAAATTCAAAAAAACCAAATTGTAAACTAAAATCCACAATATATATAAAAATATTGAAACATTATTAATAACATATATTAAACATATTTTTTTTTTCTTTTAATTACAGGGAAGCATTTGGGCTGAGACGATAAAAAAAATACTATTTAAAAAATAATCTTAAACAAATTGCAAATCGCTTTGCATTACTCTAGCCCTATCTCACTCGAGTTTTTTGTTTATCGTTTTTGTTGTTAAAAGCGAATCTATTTCAAGATGCCGAAACCAGTTGCAAGTCAAGAAGATGAGGATCCAACCCCATACTTGTTTGTATCGTTGGAACAAAGGCGTATCGATCAATCGAAACCCTATGACTCCAAGAAGATGTGCTGGGTACCCGATGAGAAGGAGGGTTATCTTATCGGTGAAATTAAGGCTACCAAGGGAGACGTTGTCTCTGTTGGCTTGCCCGGTGGAGAGGTAAAATAACAGTTATGCAGCCCGACACAGGCGTAATACTGTCGCAAATTGCCACTAAAATTTATAAACCATTATAACAATGCTGCTTTAAAGCTTTTCTTAGATATTTTAATGAAATTTTTTCAGCAAAAAAAAAAAACAAAAAAATTTACAAAAAAAATTGTTGTTTTATGCAACAATAGCAATAAACAGAACAGCAATTTTCTATTAATCACTTTTTTTGTAAAAAGTTTGATAATATTACTTTTATTAAATATTTTTTTGAAATGGTATTATAGTAGATTGCTGTACGTAATATTGCGTTTATATAGAATTTTTAAACGTTATATTTATTAACGTAAGATCTCTCGTTTCATTAAAAATCTAGACAAAAGATTTTAAAGCCGATAAAGTGGAAAAAACGAATCCACCAAAGTTCGAAAAAATTGAAGATATGGCGGACATGACTGTGTTGAATACACCTTGTGTATTGCACAATTTACGACAACGTTACTATGCCAAACTTATTTACGTAAGTTCCAACTAGAACCTAGCACTAATTAGTTTTTTTTCTCTCTCTCTCTCTCGCGTCTATTTCGTCTGCTACTATTTGTTCGTTATCCATGGGTATAACCAATATATAAAAAATCATTTTGTACCTGTACAAAATTTCGAACAACGTTCTCTTACTACAAATTATGAATATTATCTTGCAAAATATTGCAATATGTCTTGCATCCACTGCAAATCCATTAAAATATGTAATATAAAAGAGCAAAGATTTCAAGAAAGACATCCTCCAACAAGTGAACCCTCCCAAATACGAAAAAGCTGAAGATATGTCCAACTTGACATATCTTAACGATGCCTCTGTACTTCACAATTTGAGGCAACGGTACTACAACAAGCTCATCTATGTAAGTATTAAGCAAAATCGCAATGTTTGCTTTTAATGTGTCTGTTTTTTGTTTTCAAAATTACAATTACTTCATATTTTTCAAATAACATTCAGTATTTTGAACAAATCTCCATGTCTATTAAGCAACGCTAGCTAAATATAAAGTCCAAAGCTTCAAAAATTCACTAATGCAATTTTGTAATTGGCTAATCGCTTTTAAAATGTATTTTCCTAGAAAGTTATGTAGCCAGTTAACTACATGACTTTCTTAGAAACTACACTTTATGCAATATTTTCTCTCTAATATGGGCATCATAACTATATTAGTGTATAAAATATTGCTTATAAAGTGAATTGAAAATATATATTTGTCTATTTAGCAATTAATAAAACTAATCCAACATCCAACATTTGTTATTGTACGCACTAACTAAGCTATCTTAACCGTGGAAAAGTAGTTACCAAGTAGTCACAACATTCATTTTAAAGACCAGTCCACTAAAACAAAAACTGGTACATGGAAACATACAAAACTCACACACAAATTGGTGAATAGTACATACTTTCAATAAAGGAAAAAAATCCTTCCGAAGTATATATATAAAATATATAACAATAAAAAATCAACATCCAACAACACACGAAACCCAGAGCTGAGCAGACATCTCATCATGTTAATTAGTCACATAAAACCGTAGTACTTACCTATATAAGAAACCCCATTTTCCGTAGAATTTGTTTAAAATTAAATTGTTTTTCAATCATTTTCAAGGGAATTGCAAAATGGAAATAAACATACAATATATGCAGTTGCATATATCCTTTTGCAATTCTCACACACAAAGCTTGCAGTATTAGAAATAATACCAGAAGTTACAATCCAGAATACAGAAAGTAACAAAGAACTGCAATATTTGTGTGTATTGAATGTAAGAATGTAAATTCACAAAATCACAAAACCGCTGACAATCTAATTCATTTAATTCTTTTTTTCTTCTTTGACTTATCTTTAAAAACATACAAATTGCACTACAATAGACCTACTCAGGTCTTTTCTGCGTTGCCATCAATCCTTACAAGCGCTACCCCGTATATACCAACCGTTGCGCTAAGATGTACCGTGGTAAGCGCCGTAATGAAGTGCCACCTCACATTTTCGCCATTTCTGATGGTGCCTACGTCGACATGTTGACCAACCACGTAAATCAATCTATGTTGATTACCGGTGAGTCTGGTGCTGGTAAGACAGAAAACACGAAGAAAGTAATTGCGTACTTCGCCACTGTCGGCGCCTCAACCAAGAAGGATGAAAGCCAAAAGAACAAGGGTTCCTTGGAAGATCAAGTCGTACAAACTAACCCTGTACTTGAAGCTTTTGGTAACGCTAAGACCGTCCGTAACGATAACTCTTCTCGTTTCGTAAGTATTGCAAAAAGTTCAAATAAATTAAATTAAACTAAATGAAAATAAAAGAAAAACAATAAACCTAATTGCAATATATTTTCTTTTCTACTTTTCATATTTACTTCAATGCTTCTTCTTGCTGATGAATAGGGTAAATTCATCCGTATTCATTTCGGCCCATCTGGTAAACTTGCTGGTGCTGATATTGAAACTTGTGAGTATATAAGAATAAAATAATAAAAAAATAATAATATTTGTAAGCTTTTTTAAAACTCACTTTTTAAACTATAAGCTTTAAGTGAACAATTAAAATATTAGAAAAAAATTACAAAATTAAAAGGAAAAAACCACACAAAGTAAATAAAGTTACAAATAAAATTTAATTCATTTATTAAATTAATTTAAAATTAAAAATTAATTTAATTAAATCTACTAATTATTAATAATTAATAACTATTATTTAATTAAATAATAACTTAAAATAAAATTAATTCACAAACAATTAAATTGATTTAAAAAAAAATTAAATTTATTTTTATGAAAGTTAAATTAACTTATAAAAATATTCAATTCATAAAAAAAAAATTAATAGCTTTCATTATTTATAATATATCACTGGCAGTACTTTGTTCTTTTTTCTTTTTGATTATAGGGTTTTTAAAAAAATAACCTTTTTTTTTAAAATGTTTTTCAATCAATAAAAAAAAATTTTATTTTTGCTATTGTTTTTCAATCAATAAAAAAATAATGCTTATTTTTTGATAACTTTGCATTTTAATTAACTTTAATTTAATTGAACTTACTTGCTCATCTTTACGAAATTTTTATTTTTCATTTCTAGACTTGTTGGAGAAGGCTCGTGTCATCTCTCAACAATCTTTGGAACGTTCTTACCACATCTTCTACCAGATCATGTCTGGTTCCGTTGCCGGTGTAAAAGGTATAAACATACATTCTCTCATAATCAATTATTCACATATCATCAACCTTCTATTCACATATAAATATATTTGCTCAAGGATCCATAGTTCATACTCACTACTCAAGTTCCAACTATATATCTGAAAATAATTTTTCCTTAACAGAGAGAGTAAAAATGGTTTGCTTCAAGTAGTTTATGTTTTCAGTTCTTATACACTTAACACCACTAAAACACGAATACTGTTTACAAAAACAAAACATTAGCTTTATTCTATAAACATACCTTCCCACAATATATATTTACAAAATTACACCTCATATACACTTGAACAAATTTACAATTTTTATTTTAAACTTTTTATTTTAAATATTTGGTATATTGAAACAAAAAAAAAATATATATACTAAATTTTCAAACTACACTATTCCCCACATTATAGAATACTGTTTGTTGTCCAATAACGTCTACGATTACCATATTGTCTCTCAGGGCAAGGTTACTGTTGCTAGTATTGATGATGCTGAAGAAATGGGTCTTACAGATGTAATTTTATTTTTATTTTTACTTTTAAATATTGTTTTCATTTCTTTCTTTTGTTTTTATAATTTTTTTTTTCTTTTACTTAAATATCGTAACCAAGTTTTATTGGCAAAAATTGCAAATATGCAGTAGATATATAAAATAAGTAGCGTATATAAATAAAAATGTATGCTTTTAGTATAAATATATTGTTTGTAAAAGAAGTGTTCATCCTAAACATCCAAAACTACGGATCTACGGATGACAGCTAGCTAAGCTTTTGTTTTAGATAATAAACCTAGTAATTTTTTGAATAATCCCTAGCGCTACGAAAGAGCCCAAATAGACCACAATAACTGTTGTCAGTTTATAGTGGAACTTAATTCCATTATTGCAATAGTCACGTTCGTGACATTGCGATGTTTCAAGTTAGTTTGACAGCAGTGCTTTAGTAACTGCTATTCGATTATTTACAGGTTAACAAATAATTTTATTTAATAAAAAATTTTATATAAATATTTCCAAAATTTCTTTCCTCATATCCTGTCAATTGCAATCCGCCATTGTCACTGTTTTTGCTATACCTGCTCCAAAACACAACTCAATGCTGACTATGAACTTGTGTTGCTTACGTACGTACACATATAAACGTACGTGTGTGTGCGATAATAAATTCACTTTGTACATATGCAAAAATGGAAATGTCACGCAAAATGCAAAATGTAAACAGCGTATTGCTTGCTCTCAAACAACATTCACGATTATCGTATTGTTTCGCAAGGCAAGACAACAATACCCAGTGTTGACGACGGCGAAGAATTCGAAGTTGTTGATGTAAGACCATGAAAAGACATGGATACTTATTCTATGTATTGATGTGATTAACCCCACTGATGTACTGCTTGCATATTGTCAGCAGTCAGCATAATAATCAACTGATATACTATATATAACCTATTGCTATAATATACTCTAACGCCTATGTGCGTGCAATTACGAGTAAAATAGTTGTTGCGTTCAATGTCGTAAGCGCTCTGTCTCTATGTCGTAATAGTCAAACTAAATATTAAATTATATATTAATTAATTAATTAATAAGCTTAAGCTTAAGCTTTATTAAGTGAAGCAATAATAGTAATAATAGTGCTTAATAGATATGCTTTTAGTGCCTGTTATTATAAATTAAGCGCTTTTAAATAAAATTTTAGAATTTTTTTAATAAATTTAAAAATAGAGATATATAGAAATATGTTATAAAAAAATATAGAATAGAAAGAAATGCTAAATTCAACAGGTATTATTAATTACAATAAAAAAATGTTTAAATTAAAAGTCTTTATTAATAATATAACTCTACATCTGAAGAGATCACAAAACATACATATTTACATAAAAATCTATACATAACCAAATAATTTTTTGACATTATTACCAAAAAAAAAAATATTTAAAAAAAAACTCCGTATTTAAATCCTAATATCTAATACCAATTACTCTTTTTTAATCTCACAAAAAAAAAAAAAATAAAAACACACAAACTAAATTACTTCAAAGTAAATACTTCAAATATAATTTTTCTTTAATTTATATTTTTAACAAATAAAAAAAATTTTTTTTATCGAATCCAAATGAATTCATGTAGAGATGACATTTCTCACACCACATATTGGTGATTATCCCGGAATTTGTCAGGGTAAAACAAGAATACCCGGTGTCAACGATGGTGAAGAATTTGAATTAACGGATGTAAGTTGTTGTTACAAGCACCCACGTCGGTACAAAAAAAGATAACAACTCAGAAGAAGTTGTAATTTAATTAAACTATATATATATATAAATTGCTTTTATATATATATTCTTATATATACATATTTAATATATATTTAAATTAACTGTTTACTATACTCTTTCACTGGCAAGCAGTGAATTATCTCTTATTATTCTCTTGCAGTATAAACCGCTGTCTTTATCGCACTCTACTATGCGGACTTTCTCAACACTCTTTGTAAATAGTTGTTGAATTTTCATATATTATTCCGGAATTTCTATACTATTATAGGCTTTCATATAAACTGTAGTATATTCTATTTTTACACCCCTCTATTAACCAAGTATATATACAGTTAAATATATATATATATATATATGCCCTAACAAAAATACTGCTGTAAATACAAAAAAGCCACTACGGCTAGGAGCAGGTGTCTTTAGATAAAAAATATAAATTATAATTAAAAAATTTTAAATTTTGTTCACTTACAAATACTTAATTCGAATTTAGTTAAAAGTCATTTTGACACCGGGAAATTACTTGTGCTAATATATACAATATATTAAGTATAGTTGGCCCGCTCCTGGCTTGAAATTTCGAATTGTAGATAGAATGCACACACTTTCAGCACAAAACAACAACAAGACATATAAATCAATGCATGTCACTATTCATGGGTCGTCGTCCAATTTTCTTCTCAGCGTAACCAGAAAGCAACCCAACATCAGAATTTAAGAACATACACATATATTACACTATATACACATTCACACAACCTACTCCTTCACTTCTGTGTTAAATACAAGAAACCAGAAAATTATCATCATTTAAATCAATTAAAATCAATTCAAATCAATTGTAATCAAATAAAGAAATGTAAAATGCATATTTCAAACTATCAAAATTTTTCTTTGACTATGCAGCCTCGTGTCTTCTTTCTGACAATATTTACGATTACTTTAACGTATCACAAGGTAAAGTAACTGTACCAAATATGGATGATGGTGAGGAATTCGTAGCCACAGATGTAAGTTCATCAATATTTTGCACAACAAATGTGCCTAATGCATGTCAATGCATACCCGCAACCTGGTACCGGACTATTAACAGGGTTGCAGCCCTTTATAGTCCAACCTTGTTGCTCTCATCAATCGACATATGTGTTCGACTTTCGTGTTGTGTACACTTTCAAACAACAACCGCACAAAATCAAAATTCGAGGACAGTTATGGCAGAGGCCATATTCTGTTTGTGGTTTGCCATTTTGAACGTTTGTTACACACACACAAAATACATGTGACAACACAGCCTATCACACAATTTTACTACTGTATCACCTATTGTTCTATTGCATCTCGAACGATTGTTTTAAACTTAATATTTCCTACTTTATGTTCTCGAAACCCCAAAAACCCAATTGCATCTGTTGAATATTACAATATTACGCTAAATTGTAAATCCTTCAAGTTCAACAAACAAACTAAAGGTTGCAGTTGAGCTTTGAGTCCACTGACGTGTATTGCAGCTTTAGAAAAGACAAAAGCACAGTACAAGATCGTCAATTATTGGAAAAATTGGAAAAAACTCGAGAAGTGTACGATAGTGTTTTTTCCCTCCTGCAATTTTGATTGATTGTATCCAATTTTTGTGAATGTTTAATTTTTTTTTTCGAAGAAGTTAAAAAATTTATATGAATTTGTACGAAAACAAAGCATAACTAGAAAAGTACAATTCGAAAACAGGAATGCATTGTATGATTTATATAAGAAAACATTTAAAAAGTTATAATTTCCCAATAAAAATTTTATTCTGGCTAAAAACGAATTCTACCAAAGTTGCAAGTAATCAACATGTAACGTAACACACTGACATGTTAAACGTTGCTTGACTTGCAATACTGGTGCCAGAGACACCCTGTATGATAATTGAATCCTTATGCACGTTCACACTTAGCTGAAAATGAATATGTCTAGCTCTTAAGTGCTCTAATTGTTACTGTTTTTATTCCAAAAATCACTATCAATTCCGGAATATTTCTGTTTATATATATTTTTTTTGAAGAAATGCCTATACCAGAAAAATTTAACTGGTGTACATAAGCATATCAAGCACTCCTTGTAAGTTTTACTATCTACAGAACGTTTAAATTTATTTGTAAAAATAACTAGTTTTCAGTATATTTAGTTGTATAGTTTTGTTTAAATATTTTTTGCATAGCATAGATCTAAGCATAGATCTAAGTAAAAAAAAGAAAAAATGCTGCCGAAAATGCTAGCACAAAAGCTAAGCTGAAATGTGATTTAATTTGTATTAAAAATTATAAAATTAAATTTGCTATATATTTGATATTTTGCAACGTTTCGTATTTATGCCATATTCTATAAGAATGTTAAAAAGTTATATATATGCATGTGTTGTGAATTGTTTGTTATTTAAACTCTACACAAAACGCTGTAAATATCTTCAATACGCTTCACTTTCTATTTTACTGTAAATGTCGCATGCCTGCCTTATCCATAAATTTACTCATTTTTATATATTTATTTAAAAAATATAGCAAGCCTTCGATATCTTGGGCTTCAGCAACGAAGAGAAGCAAAATGTATACAAAATCACCGCCGCTGTCATGCATATGGGTGGTATGAAGTTCAAGCAACGTGGTCGCGAAGAACAGGCTGAACAAGATGGTGAAGAGGAAGGTGGCCGTGTTGCCAAACTCTTCGGTTGTGATACCGCTGAATTGTACAAGAACTTGTTGAAACCACGTATTAAGGTCGGTAACGAATTCGTCACCCAAGGTCGTAACGTACAACAAGTCGTCAACTCCATTGGTGCCCTTTGCAAGGGTGTCTTCGATCGTCTCTTCAAATGGCTCGTCAAAAAATGTAACGAAACTTTGGATACCAAACAAAAACGTCAACACTTCATTGGTGTACTGGATATTGCTGGTTTTGAAATTTTCGACGTAAGTATTCTGGATCCTACACATGAAGAAAACACTTGAAACGACTTATGTATTGGCAATTTGCTTGCATTAGCATTATGAAAATGTGAATGTACTCAAATTGGTAATGCAGAGTTCATTGGAGTATATGAAATTTAAACTAAATCAAAAATAATTTAAAAATTTTTCTTGAAATAATTTGAAAGTATATCAAATTAATTTAATAATTATTGAATTACTTTTTGAAGATTTTAAATTTTCTCTCTTTACAATAAACACTAACATTCCTCTGTCTCACACAGCACAGCAAACGAAATACAAAAATCAAATAGTTTAGATAAACCTATAAACCGATAAACCAAACGAAAGACCAAAATTTTTCTCTTTTACAATCAAATATACTGAAAACCTGTCATTGACATCGTACATAGTGTACACACATAAAACAATTCTTGACCTATTCGTATGTATCCACTATATATACAATTTGATTCCATATATTACATTAGTACAATGGCTTCGAACAAATTTGTATTAACTTCACTAATGAGAAATTGCAACAATTCTTCAACCATCACATGTTCGTTCTGGAACAAGAAGAATATAAAAAAGAGGGCATCAATTGGGAGTTTATTGATTTCGGTATGGATTTGTTGGCCTGTATCGATTTAATTGAAAAGGTGCTTAATACACAAAAACAAAAAAATAAAATCTTGTATGTTTTAAAATTATACGTGAGATATGTTTTATGTTTCAAGCAAAAAGTATAAAAACTTTTTTGCATTTTGTTCTTTAGTCTATAATAGCACAAATGGCAGAACTTGACAAGTAGGTAAAACAATGCAACCTATACCATAAATGTTCAGTGTGTACCACATCCATCAATAGCTCCAACTACCCCAATAAATGTTTCTACAATTAATTAATGCAACAAAAAAAAAAAAATTTCCTAGCACTTTCTACAAATATTTAGGGTCAGTACCAATTATTAACACAAATCACTTGATCCTTACGATCAAAAGCAATCAGTACTCAGCACTTTGTATCCTACACTTCTCCTCTTATATGCACTTTAAAATGTACTTTTTTACTTACTTATTATCTATGTTTGCATATATACATACATTTGCACATATGCAAAATATTAGTACAACGGCTTCGAACAAATTTGTATTAACTTCACCAATGAGAAATTGCAACAATTCTTCAACCATCACATGTTCGTCTTGGAACAAGAAGAATACAAAAAGGAAGGCATTGACTGGGCCTTCATTGATTTCGGTATGGACTTGTTGGCCTGTATCGATTTGATTGAAAAGGTTTGTCCACCAGCGAGTGGGAGTTGATCAGAAATTGAATTTTTTTCGTATCTGACAAGCGTTCTGTATTAATTTGACTCCTACACGAACAATTGTCATACTAAATTAATTCAATATATGATCGAAAATAAAAACTTAAATGAAAGAACTAATAAAAATGCCTTTTAAATATTTTTACGCTCTCTATAATCATAAAATAATAAAATATCCAATATATATACACATATATATAAAAAATTCCAACGTAATGGAATGATATAATTTAATCTTATTTTAATATTATTATATATACAAAGCTTTAAATATAAACGCTTGACAAGTGTATTTTGTAAAATATCACCCCAAGCGCAACTATCTATATACTTTATATTATATGTTAAGATTTCATAGCAGCAAACTTGACTAGAAGAAATGTCTATCCTGCAAAATACGGTGTCTTATGTTCTACATATTTTCATCAAAATAATGACAAACGTGCTTAAAAGCACGCAATATATAGGACCAATACCCGTTCCCAAAGACAAAGAAAAAAATAATTACTAACCATTTTACCCACATAAACACATCTAACCATTATGTTACATATTGTTCCGTTTCCGGCATACAGTACAACGGTTTCGAACAATTGTGTATTAATTTCACTAACGAAAAATTGCAACAATTCTTCAACCATCACATGTTCGTTTTGGAACAAGAAGAATACCAACGTGAAGGCATCGAATGGACTTTCATTGATTTTGGCATGGATCTGCAATTGTGTATTGATTTGATTGAAAAGGTATTGTCATTGGCGTAAACGCATTACAAAAAACTGCTGCCATGTAGAAAGCCATGTAGAAATAAAAGAAATAAGATTAATACGCAATTGTAAAGCAATACTCAATATTAAGACACTACCCTAAATTCAAGATTTTTAGAAATATTGAAATAACCACATTATTAGTTGACCTAATCAGAACTAATTTACCTAACCATATCATGTTTTATTTATCTAAAAACGCACTAAAAACTGGAAGAGGCGTCATTTTTAAGCATTGCACGCCTATAAAATATTTATTGCCAGTAATAATAACTTAAATCTAAATAAACTAGAAAAAAGGTAAGCTTTATGTTCGCTTTAATTTAACATAAGTAACAATCAAAATTGTACAATAAAAGCTACTAATATTAATTTAGTGCACTTGTTCTGGAGACTAAAATTCTACTAAATTTATTGGTAAAAACAAATTTTCTAATAAATTTTCTTTTCTTTTCTTTTTTTACTATACAACATTTTCTAAACTACAGCCTATGGGTATCTTGTCCATCCTTGAAGAAGAATCTATGTTCCCCAAGGCTACTGATCAAACCTTCTCCGAAAAATTGACCAACACTCACTTGGGCAAATCTGCTCCATTCCAAAAACCAAAACCACCAAAGCCCGGCCAACAAGCTGCTCACTTCGCTATTGGCCATTATGCTGGTGTTGTCGCCTATAACATCACCGGTTGGTTAGAAAAGAACAAGGATCCATTGAACGACACTGTTGTCGATCAATTCAAGAAATCTGCCAACAAATTGTTGGTTGAAATCTTCGCTGATCATCCAGGTCAATCTGGTGGTGCTGATCAAGCCAAGGGTGGTCGTGGTAAGAAGGGTGCTGGTTTCGCCACTGTATCTTCAGGTTACAAAGAACAATTGAACAGCTTGATGACAACATTGCGTTCCACACAACCTCACTTCGTACGTTGCATCATTCCCAACGAAATGAAACAACCCGGTATGGTTGATGCTCACTTGGTTATGCATCAATTGACTTGTAACGGTGTACTTGAAGGCATCCGTATTTGCCGTAAAGGTTTCCCCAACAGAATGGTCTACGCTGATTTCAAATTGCGGTAAGTATTTGTTGTATATTTTCATTCTATACAACAATGAAATCTCAATGATTTTATAGTTTTATACAGCATCTATTATTATTGAAGCTAAGCAATGATATTGTAGCATATGATGTGATAATCACTTACTTATTTAGTAATAATGTATATATTTTAATGTTGATATAGTGCAAAACAAAAATTAATTGATACAGTATAGCTTAATGTGGTATGATGACATATTATGTTATATATTCAATTATCTGCAATATCATATGACATGATTAGTATTTATCATTCTATTATCATGTGATTTAATATTGACGATATGGTATGGTAGAATGTGGTGTGATGACACATTAGGCCATTGAGTTCGCAAATAGTTTTTGTATTGCTAACTATAACTACTTCAAGTAATAGATCTATTTTTTTTTTCATTTTTGTATGAATACAATTCACTTAATTATTTATTACTAAAATGATTTTAATATTAAATGAATTTAAAATAGTTCAATATATTTTAATGCATATTAAAGTGAATTTTTGAGCTGACCATACAGCTATATATAATACTACCAAATATCTATTATCAGTGGATATGAAGTAAATATTTAATTAAAAAAAAAATTAATAAATATCATATGCTGTAAAATCATATACATTATACAATAGTTTACTATTTTTATTATACATTTTTATTTTATTTATCTATTTATTATATACTTAGTTAATATATAGTTTATTTATTCATATATTTATTACCTCTTTGATATATTTAAATTATATTGAAAACTTAATTAACTTACAAAACTAAATGAATTTTAAAATTTTTTATTATATTTAATTGACTGTGATAAAAAAAAACTATAGTTACATGATTTTGGCACCAGCTATCATGGCTGCCGAAAAGAATAATAAAACCTCTGCTGCCAAATGTTTGGAATCTGTTGGATTGGATCCAGATATGTACCGTATTGGTCACACCAAGGCACGATAAATCAATTTATATCTTTTTTGTTCCATTTCTATCTATATATCCCAACCTATTATCACGATATGTTTCTGTATGAATGCCCACGTCTAGTGAATCTGCAATATTCAATTATATATTTGTTTGTTTCCCGAAACTGAAGCAGTTGTAGATGCAAGAATTGCCTGAAATTATTTTTAGATTTGTCTCACATCACATACTCTTTTTTTAAATATATTTAGTATATCCTTAATAATTACTCTTTTCCATATATATATGCACATTATATATTATAGTATACAACTGCATTTGTTTATCGTATATAAAAAATATTGAAAGCATTATGTTATCCATAAGTTGTATAATCCTTTAAAACCGGTACTCCTTAAACCCATAAAAATATTAAAATTATGTTATACAAATATTCATATATTATTCTATAATTTCTCTGTTTACCTGTTTTATATATATATATATATATATATGTAAAATCCATCGAATGTACCCCTTATATATCTCATATATGTCATATAAACATGTATGCAATTTCAATATCACATTTTCTCATATCAAATATATACCCGTCATATTTTAAGATTGTTTGGAGTATGTTTCGTGTAATGGCATGCGTATATATCTATACCAATAAATATTTACATATATATAAATAAATAATTATTTAGGCAATATTATAACTTAGTGAACATTTTAATTAAATAAAACATTTGCAGCATATTTAGTGAAAGCAACTTGTAAAAACGATATTTTAACACGTTTTTCATATATATTAAAAAATTCTATATGCATCCACAGGTACCAAATTCTTAACCCAAGAGGCATCAAAGACCAGAACGAGAAAAAATCCTCCCAAATCCTTATTGAAACCACTGGTTTAGACGGTGATTTGTACCGTTTGGGTCACACAAAGGCATGATATTCAAACTTTAGTTTATATGCTATCGTATTTATATAATAAGAATATATTCCAAAGTTGTCAATATTTCAATATTGAACGACTTAGTACATATTCTTCGTCGAACACTTGCACATAAGATATTTTGAGTTGTGGACTCACTCTGTAGTTAGTTTCGAACGGCTTCGATTATACAATTGCTATTTTAAGTAGAGTAGAAATTGTAGTTTTGAAATACATAAAAAATGCTAATACGTTATTAAGTATTAAATAAAAAAATATCACATTTAAATTTTCTTAAAATATTTACAATGCAAAAAGTAGTTAGTTGTTTATTGGCTAAAACACTTATGATTAATAAACACATCCGCACAGACCACAGCAAAAAGTACAGTACAAACGCTCTTACACAAATTATAGCAAACATGCACACATGCACACACTAGAAAGCCTCGGCTACACATACACAAACAAACAAAGAAACAAACAAACAAAATACAAATCTCAAAATCGGTAGAAACTTCTTTGTAAATATTTTATGATAAGAAGGTTAAAAAAATTAATGTATGTACTATACTTACATTTAATGTATTCTTCTACTACATTTAAATAAATTTATTACATCACATATGTATATGATATGTTTTATACAAATTCACAGCTACCAAATTTTAAATCCAAAGGATATTAAAGGCATAGATGATCCTAAAAAAGCTTCTAAAATTGTTATCGAATCGACGTCATTAGATCCAGATCTCTATCGTCTTGGTCACACAAAGGCATGATTTAAACAAAAAAAAAAAATTTTGCGAAAAATTTCTTCGAAACACAAAAAATTTGTCTCTTAACTTGTTCTTAAAATTCTCTTAAATATAAAACATTCCCAAAATTTTCCACTTTACTAAAGCCCAAATTAAGTAGAACTGACTCAAAGCAAATTTCTTTGACAAAAGAAAAGGGCTGCATTTACAAACCTGCCAATAACTTGCCAGGTTCTAGCAAACAAAAATCCTCTAAGTGAAAATGCGAGAACCTGCCAAATATGCCATATTCCTTAAACCCTAGAAGATCCACTATACCACACAAGAGTAACTACATAAATAAATTTATTTAAAAATATCATGCTGCAGTACTTTTTAAAATAAATAAGTCAACACGTACTTATAACATTAGCCAAAAACGTCTAAAGCCCCACTAAACTAGGGCATTGCCTTATTCATTTTGTTAACTTTTTATTTGTTCTCATTTATTGTAGTGAGTAGTTAAATTATATACATACATATATTTTTTATATATAATTGCTTATATTTACATTTATTTACATAAACACAGTAGTACATATAGATATACATATTTTGTAGTTACCTTAGTTATTAACAAATTAGTTGTTAAGATTTTAAATTATTTGTTTATTTTGATATTTTTTGTATTTTTACTAAACCGTTTTATACATATTTGCATTTTTCCCCTCCAACATAAATGAACATATTTATGTAAATATATTTAATGTATGATACATACGAAAACAACACTCACCAACAACACATCAACAACAATATACAGCTACCAAATCCTTAACCCAAGAGGCATTAAGGGAATTGAGGATCCCAAGAAAGCCTCTAAAGTTATTGTCGAATCCACCGAATTGGGAGACGATCAATACCGTCTTGGTAACACAAAGGCACGAATATTTTTTAATAAATAAAAAAAAACCATTTAATTTCAATAAAATGCAAACGTAAAAGAGAAACACAAAAATAATTGCCAAAAATATAATAACAAATGTTATTAATATTGCAAATGTTATTAACATAGCAAATGTTATTAACATAACAAATAGAACTTTTGCAATAATAACATTTATAAAATTTATGCTACAAAAGCAATGGCTCAATGAACTGATGTCCATTCCAATAAACCTATCTCAAACATATAGTAGTAATTTGTTGTTAAAACAAGTAAAAAACTTGCCATATATGAAGTTATGATATATGTTTGAAATATCCCAGTACTTCACACCCACACCCACACACTGACTTTCATACTCTCAATGCACTTAAATCCTATAAATAAATCGTTTTTTTTTTAAGGTATTATTGTATGGTAAAATGTGTAAAAAATCCAACAAAAATTTGGACCGCACATTTTTACCAGCACGTAGTTGCATACAAACATACAAAAATAGATAGTTGTATGTATTTGAAGCTGCTCAGGACCCCTTCAAAAAGAAGGCATGCATAGAGTGGCAACAAATGATTTTTACTGGAATGATTTTTACTTAATATTATTTTATATATGTTATGTATGATTTATATTTATTAAAACAATCTTCTTATAATTTAAGTAGTATTTTTGCAACATTCGTTTAGACTAACTGTATTATACATATACATATAGTAGTTTTACTTCCAAAATTTTTTGATTACTAAACATATTTTATATATACTTACACATACTTATAAAAACACATACAGCTACAAGATCATGTGTCCTAAACTATTGCACGGCATAGAAAAAGACAATAAGGCCACTGATGTTATCATTAAATTCATTGATTTGCCCGATGACCAATATCGCTTGGGTTCAACCAAGGTATATCAGAGACTATATACTATAACCGCTACTATAATCAATTAAAAATATCTCACGCAAAGCCAAAATTGCAGCACTAAAATAAACAAAATTCAGAAAAAAAGAAATCGCGTAAAAAATAAAAATATTATTATTGCTTAAAATTGAAAATACTACACACAAATCAGAAATATATCTGCCATCTAACACACACATAAACTTTACTTTAATCACGCACAGATATATAGAATTTAAGTCTAAAATAATTACATTTATGCATCTTGCAATACTAACATTATCAATAGTTTTGCACACAACTGTTATATGTGCTTGTTCTGTTTATTTGTTACGTGAAGTCCCATCCGAAATCCCGTTTTTGTGTAAAAAAAAAAAATTTAATTACGGAAAGAAGTGTTTCTTGAAGAACTGCTTGAAATTCAGCTATAAGTGAGTTCTTTGTAATCGCCTCTAAATGTTGATAATAAGAATATTAATTAGTAAATTAATAAATGTTTGTTTAAAAAAAATGTACATCTCGGCAATAACAGATAGCTCACTTTAGCCAGCAATGCACTAAATTGCTGCACTTATAGATCTTTTGCAAGAACTTCTTTAGCTAACCTATTCAAATTATTTACTCCCGCACACGCAAATTCACTTTGCGGTACTTATAAATCATATAGGTCTTCTTCCGTGCCGGTGTCTTGGGTCAAATGGAAGAATTCCGTGATGAACGTCTTGGTAAGATTATGTCATGGATGCAAGCCTGGGCTCGCGGTTACTTGTCCCGCAAGGGCTTCAAGAAATTGCAACAACAACGCGTTGCATTGAAGGTTGTACAACGCAACTTGCGCAAATACTTGCAATTGCGCACATGGCCATGGTACAAATTGTGGCAAAAGGTCAAGCCCCTCCTCAACGTCACCCGTATCGAGGATGAGATTGCTGTAAGTATAAGTATTAAAATACAAAACAATAAATAATATTTAAATAAAAATAAATGAAATAAAATAAAATAAAATAAAATAAATTTCTATTAACATATAGAGATTGATAAATTATATTATACACTGTAAAATATAAAATAATATAATAACAAAATATAATAATAATAATGATAATAATATTTCTTTATTATTATAAATAATTAATATAAACAATAAATGATATGAATTAAAATAATTTAAATATTATTAATATAAATTATTCCACAATAGCAAAATGTTAACATATAAATTGCATTTGCATATGGAGCTGTTGTAGTTGTTCATACGAAAGGTTACTCATACGCGCCGTGGTACGTGGGCTTCCTACAACGTTTATACGTTCATAAATTCTAAAAGATTTTCGTTTCGAATTAAAAAAAAAAAAAAAAACAAAAAAACACAAATCAAAGGAATATAAACAAATATCATTTTGTCACTTCACAACTTAAGTGAAAAGCAATTTGGCAGCAATTAAACACTTAATCAACTAATAAGACTTTGTGACCTCGCATACTTGTGACTGAAAGAGGCACAACATTTACAATGCAGCTGCAAAATATTCGGCTAAACTTAGTAATAATATTACACAGCATATACATAAATATTTTTTTTTGGATTAATATTTCTATAACCAAACATTTTTGAAATTTTAAAAAGGTCAATAAGATCTAATAATTTAATACCACCCACTGCAATATTTTATCGGTTGTCGACGCTATATGAAAATACGTTAGAAAAATGATTGAATACACGAATTGCATTAGTTGGGTTGCATTTGAAATGTTAATATATATTGACATTTCTCTTACATGTATATATACATCATCATTTACATACATAAAGCTACGTAAGATGTTGTATTTACTAATGACGTTATTCATATTGATACGTTTTATATCATACCGCAACGATAAATCCTATAATATATATTACTGATCTATAATTAATGCTTCCATAATCGCCATTGAAGATGTACGGTGCAAAAAAATATAAATTTAAAAATTCTAATATACAAACACAAAATCAGTACAAAAATCTATTTTCTCAGTTTTCCACTGAATAAATTAAAGCAACTCAAATATTTTATTTACGATTATTTGTAAAAAATTTATTGCTTACATAGAAAAGCAATAAAATGTATGAAAATAATGGAAAATAATGGGAAACTCACAAAGTGGAGGTCATAATTAAAAATTTTATTAAGCGGATCATGCAATAACACTCCACACTTCACACTTAGCGGTTTCTATATGGCAGAGCACCACTTCGCCAACCAATACTGTGATTTAGTATGTATGAAATTATCTAAAAATAATTTTTAATATCTAAACAAATCAAACAAAAAAAAAAAACACATTTTGGTTACTTCAAAAATGATCTTTCAAATGAATTCCTTTAATTCAAATCAAAGATAACTGAGTACACATATTTATTTATATTCCTATCCTATGTTTCCTCTTTGGCATGTGTGTTTGGTACTCGTACTCGTACAGCAATTGCTCATTAATTAAATTATTAAAAATCGAGATTTGCATTTATAGCAGTTAACAAATATATTCTAGAGGAAATCTAGCATAAAAATCTAAACAAACTGCTAATAAAAATATTGAATAAGATATATATATATACATATATATATATATATAAGTATATATTTATATATATTCGCTTAAATCAGCAAAGACCAAGCAGCAAAGCACCAAGCACATCATCAACGCAATTAGTCTCAAGTATCCAACCAATTATATTGCAGCACATTTCCGAGTACTGCTATTTTTGGCAGATATTATATATATACGGCATGATATATATATATAAATACTTGATGCGTACATTTAATTGTACAACTCTTAAATCATAATTTTTTATTTATTTATTGAAAATGAGCTACAATGAAAGATTTCTTGTAGCAACAACAAATATAACATTTGTTGAAGCAAACAACAAAAAAAAAAAAAACTGAAGCATCAGAGTACTAAGAAGAAAATACATGACTAGAACATGGCAAATCATAGCCAGCCAATTACCATATGCATTGTGCCTTTTGACTCTTCAATAAATTCAAAATTAATTATATTCAAAATTAGCAGCCGCAGCTGCAGAAAAGTCAGAATCTGAGACAGAGCAATCAGCAGCAGCAATTATAGCAATACTAGCAATACTAGCAATACTAGCAATAGCAGCAATAGCAGCAATATAATTTTAAATACGCCTTACACTTCTAGGCCTATTAATATTCAAGTACACTCACAGCTCACAGCTCACAGCTCATATAGTGGTTTACCAGAATTGCTGTTGTTATTGCTGTTGCTACTACAACTACAAATATATGCGCTGATATCATTAGCTATATATTTCCGTATGCAATGATCATGTCAGCATGCGCCGATGAGTAATAATTATGAATTTTTAATAATTTTTAATTGAATCCTCATCAAAAACAAAAACAACAATAAAAAATATACTAGCCCCCATAATGTATATACTTGATGAATATTGGATGTTTTCGGTGTGATTGCGATAGCAATATACTTTTCTATTAAGAAGTATATATTGTGCTCTCACTCCTATTACACCTGTGGTATATCATAGATGTTAAAGCTGGCGTTGACGTTCTTAAATTCTTAAGTATGATGCAGCCACAACAGCCGTCATCATCGTCATCGTCGCCGTCGCCGTCGCCGTCGTCGTCGTCGGTGTCGGTTTTGCCGCAGCAGTCACAGTTGCAGTCACAGTTGTAGTCACAACGCAACGCAGCGCAGCTCTGCTTTGCTCTGCCAATTGCGAGCACTGATTTTTTATTATTTTCATATTTTCATATTTTCATTTTTAATAAATGATAATTACCAAAGAAGCGTGCTCTGCTCTGATCTGCTCTGATCTACAGTGCTGTGCTGCTGTGTTGTGCTGCTGTGATACTCTGCTTCTATACTGTTGTACTGTGAGTTGGTACATATTTCGGGGCGTAGCTAATTTTATAATATCGTGCAATATATTGCAAGCATTCCAGTTGTTGACCAGTACCTAAACAGACCTAGTTACCTGGGCAAGCGAGCACAAGACACTTTTTAAACGAAACCAAAACGATTTGCGCCATCATTCGAAACGGAAATACAAAAATCGAACAACAATTAATTGAAATACAAATTTGAATTCAAATTCAAATTTAAATTAATTGAAATTAAATTGAATTTATTAGCAATAAATACTCGAATACGTACGAATTGCACCTATTGATTATACATAGGAAAATATTTTCCATTTACGAAAGTGCGCAAAATACAATAGTCTTAAAAACGCTAAATAATCGGTAAAATCTATATTAATTATAAAACAATTGAAAAAAATTGTATTAAATTATTTAAAGTAAAACAATGGCAGATGATAAGAAAACTAAAAAATCGAAAAAATCCACCACTGCCGCTGCAGCTGCTACACCAGTTGCAACTACTGAAACGGAGGCATTAACACCAACCGAAACAACAACAGTTTCTCCTTCTGTAGACGCAATCGAAACAGCTCCAGTGAGTTTAGAAACTACTGCAACAGCAATTGCAGCACCAATAATACAAAATAACGATGAGCAACCAGCTACAAATAGCACAACAACTGCAACACCATCAGTCATGCAAAATGCAACTACTACAGCTATTGCGGAATCCTTTCCAGAAGAAATCAATGCAACTAATAAAATAATTTCTTCCACTTCTGATTCTTTTGACTTACAGCGCCTTGAAGAGAAAGCTAAGAAGGCTGAAGAAGCTCATGCTGCTGAAATTAAAGTACGCAAGGAATTGGAAGGCCTTAACGCTAAATTGTTAGCAGAAAAGACTGCCCTTTTGGAATCATTGTCTGGTGAGAAGGGTCAACTTCAAGATTTCCAAGAAAGGAACGCCAAGCTCACAGCACAAAAGAACGACCTCGAGAATCAATTACGTGTAAGTATTAAAAACCATTTTTATTATTTTAATAAATTTCCTTTGTGCCATACAAAATTCATTATATATAAAATTGTAAGAATTATAGAAAACCTTTATTCTATTCAAATAGTTCTGTAGCAACGAATATAGGAAATCCTTTTCAATTACTGAAACAAAAATTAAATATTCAAAAGATTTTCTTGAATTTTATATGTAGTATAGCCAGACTATAACATTTTTACTACTGCAAACAGTTCTTCCCTCTACATGCTCCAAATGAAATTCTAGTAATACCATTTTCAATCCCATACAAATTATTTAAAATTCCTGTAGAATCCAGTTGGTTTCGTGAAAATCGCTGCAATAATAACTTAAAAATTAAGCGAATTCTGGACACTATATATATTTCGAGTTCTGTATAGAAGAAGCATGCATACATATATACTTAGACCCTAAGAATATATATTGCTTGCCATTTCTTATATAGAAAACTATTTCGTTTATGTTAAGAACTATAGAATTGGAACCGACTTCAATAAATTACATGCTTTTCCTTCCACATTCGCAGGAAGTGCATTAGTACGATTTCGGTTCATTAGCAGTGATCATAGAGCAAAACGTTTGTTGATGATATCTGTGCTGGCATCGTCAATTTGTCCATTTATTACACTCAACAGAGTGTTTCGCATTTTACGAAACAACGAAAGAAAGAAAATTTTGTGTATTTTCTTAAGCGGGCGAAAGTAGCAAATATTTCTGTGCTATTTTTGGAATGCATTCGAAATGAATTAGATTTCAATAGCTAATGCAAATTGGCTAAAATTAGCACAAGCTGATCTATCGCAATATATATGCAGTAAATTCTTGCACATTTTTTACAAATTTTTTTGTTTTTGTATTTTCTTTGAATGTGTACGCCATGTCTAATTTTTTACTTGTTGGGATTTTTTTAGGATATCCAAGAACGTTTGACTCAAGAGGAAGATGCCCGCAATCAATTGTTCCAACAGAAAAAGAAGGCGGATCAAGAGATTTCTGGCTTGAAGAAGGATATTGAAGATTTGGAATTGAATGTCCAAAAGGCTGAACAAGATAAGGCTACCAAGGACCATCAAATCCGCAATTTGAATGATGAAATCGCCCACCAAGATGAACTCATCAACAAATTGAACAAAGAAAAGAAAATGCAAGGCGAAACCAACCAAAAGACTGGTGAAGAGCTCCAAGCTGCCGAAGATAAGATTAACCATTTGAATAAGGTTAAGGCTAAGCTCGAACAAACCTTAGATGAATTGGAAGATTCATTGGAACGTGAGAAGAAATTGCGCGGTGATGTTGAGAAGGCTAAGCGCAAGGTTGAAGGTGACTTGAAGCTTACACAAGAAGCCGTTTCAGATTTGGAACGCAACAAAAAGGAATTGGAACAAACCATCCAACGCAAAGACAAGGAATTGTCATCCCTCACCGCCAAATTGGAAGATGAACAAATTGTTGTCGGCAAACACCAACGTCAAATTAAGGAATTGCAAGCCCGCATCGAAGAATTGGAAGAAGAAGTTGAAGCCGAACGTCAAGCTCGCGCCAAGGCTGAGAAACAACGTGCTGATTTGGCTCGCGAATTGGAAGAATTGGGTGAACGTCTTGAAGAAGCCGGTGGTGCTACATCTGCACAAATTGAACTCAACAAGAAACGTGAAGCCGAACTCAGTAAATTGCGTCGTGACTTGGAAGAAGCTAACATTCAACATGAATCTACCTTGGCTAACTTGCGCAAGAAGCACAACGATGCTGTCGCTGAAATGGCCGAACAAGTTGATCAACTCAACAAATTGAAGGCTAAGTAAGTATATAGATTTCAATTAGTATATGCATTTTTTCTAATAGGTATAGAAAAGATAAATGAAATATCGTTCCTCACTGTTGAATTGTTGAGTGTCCAATAATGTTCGTCCAATTTTTTTAAAGTGTCGTTGTAAAATTTCTTAAAATTTCTTTAATAATCAAAAATTTTCTTCATATTCTGTGATAATATTTAGGGCTGAACACGATCGTCAGACTTGCCACAACGAGTTGAATCAAACTCGTTCCGCTTGCGATCAACTTTCACGCGATAAGGTAATATGCCAAACTCAAAGGGGTTTTCACACCCAAAATATATATTAATAATATCAAATCTATTAAACACACAATAGCAAAAAAAGATTGACAACTGGCATGTACTTGTCTAAAACCCGATGTTACTTACGTGTCACATTATCCCCACATACAATATTTAAAACAAACAAGCAATAAAAGTGTTTTAATACTTCCTCATTTTAAATCCCAATTTGTCACTTATACTTTCTAAATGTGTCTGCCTCTCTTCAGTTTGCTGAGAAACGCATCAGGGCAGAGCAGAGCCAATTTTATCGCAAGACTCTTTTAATGGATGCAACTTGGATTTCAGCTGAATTTCTAATTTTAAGCAATTCCCACGACAAATTTAACACACAAAACTAACCACACACTACAATTTTACTCTTAATCCAATCTAGGGCTGAAAAGGAGAAGAACGAATACTACGGCCAATTAAACGACCTCCGCGCTGGTGTTGACCACATTACAAACGAGAAGGTATACAAATTTCTATTCAAAATTTTGCTGATTTCGCCGCTGTAAAATATATGCTGAATTCAGTTCAAAGAATTATTGAAATTACATAGAAATTAAATCTAAAATTGTATATTTTCTTGGTAGAATTGCTTTAAGATCACAACATTTTTACGCTAATATATAAAACCAATTGTTGTCTGATTTGAAATAAAGCAAGACAACAAACCAAATGCAATCAAGCATATTTAATCCATTTTCAAGTATAATCGCTTCTAATTAACCGATAATTTTAATGAAAATCCTTTTAATATTTGCTTCTTACCTGTGCTAACTTTTGTACAGTTTACACATTGCCGCAATATACAATCAAAAACAAAACTTTTGTCTATATTTTACTAATACATATTTTAATTATATTCAGGCTGCCCAAGAAAAGATTGCCAAGCAATTGCAACACACACTTAATGAAGTTCAATCCAAATTGGATGAAACCAACAGAACCCTTAACGACTTTGATGCCTCCAAGAAGAAGCTCTCCATCGAAAACTCCGACCTCTTACGCCAACTTGAAGAAGCTGAATCCCAAGTATCACAATTGTCCAAGATCAAGATCTCCCTCACCACACAACTCGAAGATACCAAACGTTTGGCTGATGAAGAATCCCGCGAACGTGCTACTCTCTTGGGCAAATTCCGCAACTTGGAACACGACTTGGACAACCTCCGTGAACAAGTTGAAGAAGAAGCTGAAGGCAAAGCTGACTTGCAACGTCAACTCAGCAAGGCTAACGCTGAAGCTCAAGTATGGCGCAGCAAGTACGAATCCGATGGTGTTGCCCGCTCTGAAGAATTAGAAGAAGCCAAGAGGAAGTTGCAAGCTCGTTTGGCTGAAGCTGAAGAAACAATTGAATCCCTCAACCAGAAATGCATTGGACTCGAAAAGACTAAACAACGCTTGTCTACTGAAGTTGAAGATTTGCAATTGGAAGTCGATCGTGCCAACGCAATTGCTAGCGCTGCCGAAAAGAAACAGAAGGCATTCGACAAAATTATTGGAGAATGGAAACTCAAGGTTGATGATTTGGCTGCTGAACTCGATGCCTCACAAAAGGAATGCCGCAACTACTCCACTGAATTGTTCCGTCTTAAGGGTGCCTACGAAGAAGGACAAGAACAACTTGAAGCTGTCCGCCGTGAAAACAAGAACCTCGCTGATGAAGTTAAGGATCTCCTCGACCAAATTGGTGAAGGTGGCCGCAACATTCATGAAATTGAAAAGGCACGCAAACGCTTGGAAGCCGAAAAGGATGAACTCCAAGCTGCTCTTGAAGAAGCTGAAGCTGCTTTGGAACAAGAAGAAAACAAGGTATTGCGCGCTCAATTGGAATTGTCTCAAGTACGTCAAGAAATCGATCGTCGCATCCAAGAGAAGGAAGAAGAATTCGAAAACACCCGCAAGAACCACCAACGTGCCCTCGATTCAATGCAAGCCTCCCTTGAAGCTGAAGCCAAGGGTAAGGCTGAGGCCCTTCGCATGAAGAAGAAGTTGGAAGCCGACATCAACGAATTGGAAATTGCTTTGGATCATGCCAACAAGGTAAGTTTTCCTATTTGCTGATAATGTTAAATTAATTGAAAAACGTATATAATGAATAGAATAAATAACTAATGTAATTTTTATAATATTTTAGGCTAACGCCGAGGCCCAAAAGAACATCAAACGCTACCAACAACAACTTAAAGATATCCAAACCGCACTTGAAGAAGAACAAAGAGCCCGTGATGATGCCCGTGAACAATTGGGTATTTCTGAACGTCGTGCTAACGCTCTCCAAAACGAACTCGAAGAATCCCGCACCCTTCTTGAACAAGCCGATCGTGGCCGTCGTCAAGCCGAACAAGAATTGGCTGATGCTCACGAACAACTCAATGAAGTTTCCGCCCAAAATGCTTCAATCTCTGCTGCCAAGAGGAAATTGGAATCTGAACTGCAAACACTCCACTCTGATTTGGATGAATTGTTGAACGAAGCCAAGAACTCCGAAGAAAAGGCCAAGAAGGCTATGGTTGATGCCGCCCGCCTTGCTGATGAACTCCGCGCTGAACAAGATCATGCTCAAACACAAGAGAAACTCAGGAAGGCTCTTGAACAACAAATCAAGGAATTGCAAGTACGTTTGGATGAAGCTGAAGCTAACGCACTTAAGGGTGGCAAGAAAGCAATCCAAAAATTGGAACAACGCGTACGGGAATTGGAGAACGAATTGGATGGTGAACAAAGAAGACATGCTGATGCCCAAAAGAACCTCCGCAAATCAGAACGCCGCATTAAGGAATTGAGCTTCCAATCTGAAGAAGACCGCAAGAACCACGAACGCATGCAAGACTTGGTTGACAAACTTCAACAAAAGATCAAGACATACAAGAGGCAAATCGAAGAAGCTGAAGAAATTGCTGCCCTCAACTTGGCTAAATTCCGCAAAGCCCAACAAGAACTTGAAGAAGCTGAAGAACGTGCTGACTTGGCCGAGCAAGCCATTAGCAAATTCCGTGCCAAGGGACGTGCCGGTTCAGTTGGTCGTGGTGCCAGCCCAGCGGTAAGTTAAAACTGCACTAAATATTATTACTATTTATATGATTTATTAAAATAAAAATATTATTTATTTCCCCTGTCATTTATGCGATCAGAACTAAATACGGCACAACAATCGGCCACTCCGTTCAAATTGTGAAATATATGCAAAGAGAATTGTCTAGATCATAAGAAATATATTATAAATAAATCCAAACCAAATCTAAGCGATGCATTGTAAATGCATTCATTCAACATTCAATTTATAGAAACTTAAATCATCATTCAAGCAAAAATGAAAAATACTCATCAAAACCATATTAGCCAATTTAGCTGATTCAGAACTTAATCAAAATATTAAAACTCAAAACCGCGAAACAAAACAACCTTCAAGCAATAAAATCGTTCATAAGATACTTCAACTTCACTACTTTTTTATTATAATTAATATTATTATATATATACAAAATATGTGTGTGTACAGCAGCCGACAGCGTCTAAAGGTGGCCGCAATAGAGCGCTGGATCAGTAAATACTTTCCATTTCATTAGTAAGTGCAACGAAACGTTACTATGTATTTGTATGTGCATTATTGTGTATGTGGTCTACTATTAAGTGGTGTTTGGGAAACTTGAGCCGAAACACCCTACCAACCAAGCCCACAGCACCAAACTCAATGTCAAACTCAAAGATTACGTTCTTGACTTTAAATGTATTTGAACTACGTTTTGTTGCGTTAAACCGTATCGTTGTTAATTTGCACTTTCTCGTTCTATAGTAACTCGTTCTCTTTTACTCATACATTACGTTTGTCTCACCATAATGCCATAATGCCATAATGTCATTGCCATTAGTAAGTTCGCTATCATACGTTAATACCTCAAAGTTTATCCGCAGTTCGTTCAACTGTACTAAACTGTACTGTACTAAAATCATCCAAACTTAATATTGGATATTAGCCCACATTGATATTTGTCAGCTCAAATAAACGTGTATGGACCTACACGTAAAGTTTGTAGTTAAAGGTTTTTTAAACCCCCTATTCATTAATTATTACATTTCATATTTTACATTTTGTGATACTGAATTGGAACAAAAAAAAATAAATAAATGATCATTATTGTTCCACTACAAAACGTGCACCGCATTCGCTTCGTTGAAACCACAAAAAACGCATATTTAACATTAACCATTCCCAAGTATTAGAACCAAATCAAGTACTTACTGTATACAAAACCTTTACATTTTTGCCCTATTCCGCAACAGCTCGAAACAGTGTAGTCGATCATATTTTAGCAGTTCGATTCCTTACTGTTGATATCCCCATTCCAGTGAATTGCATGTTATGTTACAATTTACAACCTCTTTCAGCCTCTCTAAAAATGTTTATAATATTTTAATAATTTTCATTTTTATTCTCTTCACAGCCCCGAGCGATGTCCGTACGGCCACAATTCGACGGAATGGCTTTCCCACCAAGATTCGACCTTAATCCAGAAAACGAATTCTAAATGCCATTTCATTTTTTAATTTATTTAAATATTTCATAATTGTGTTATTTTAATTTTATTTAAACTATTTTTAAACTTTTTTGTTTTTAAATTAAATAAAAAAAACTTATTTAAATCGAACGACGGGAGGAAAATGCACTTAGGCAAAAATCTAAAATCTAAAATCTAAAATCTAAAAAAAATCTCTTAAACAAAAGAAACATAAAAGCTATTGTAATACCAACTAACAACGACATAAGCCTTAACGAGTATGGATGAATTTAATAAGTAAATAAATCATCTGTCGACTTTTCGATGTGCAGGAGGACATTTTAGCTAAAAGGATATCTTAAATGTATTTAATTTTTTTATAGTTCAAACTAAGGACACAAAATAGGAAATCCAAAAAAAAATTCGTAAAAAACAAAAAAGTTCATTTAAATGACAAATGCCCCGTCATATGAGAAGAAATGAAAAATGTCAACATCGAAAATCAAAACATGAAATAAATAATGAAATTCTATATATACAATGTCTTTATATATTTACTATTTAATTTAATATATATATATGTATATATATATAAATTTATGTATGTATATATATATATATATTAATTATATTAATGCACCCATATAAACACGTTCACAAAGCATACACATTCATCAAGGAGCTTATGTTTATGTTACTCTTTTTTAAAAAATTATTATATACTGAAAATAAAAAATTTAATAATATTATATACAAAAAAGGAACAAAATAAATGTAGATCAATAAAAAAAAATCAAAATTAAAATTTTGTCTTTTATTTTATATATATTGAGTCATAGAGAAGATGCCAAGGATGCATCCCTATCAACGATGGCTATAAGAATTTCTATTGCTTCGCTGTGGTAGTTGATATCTTCAACAACAATTTTAAAATAAATCATTTACTACCGATACTTAATACCTTAATGCTTAATGTATACTTATAGCAATATTATTACTACTTTTACCTGTGATAAAATATATCTCTCTCTCTCTTTTATTCTCCCAGTGGAGCATAGGGCCTCTACCATATTTTTATACTGGATTCGGTTATTTGATTTGCGGCATATATCACTCCAGGAATAGTTCGCTTCTCTTAATTCTTCTTCAATTGTTCTTCTCCAAGTTTTAGCTGGTGCTCCAGGTCTGCAGCTGCCTTGAGGATTCCATCTCATTGCTTGACGTGCAATGTTTCCATTGGGTCTGCGGAGATTGTGGCCTATCCAACGCCAAGATAAAATACATAACCTATGATTAATCGTATATTCACTTCGCCATGATTCCATGTAGCATATAGGCGTGATTTCAATTTTTCTGCACGTCAATCTTACAACTATGGTCGATAAAGCCAACTACTCTAAATAACTTTTTCCACAATGTTAAGATATATCTTGATATAGTTTAATTCTCGAGAAATTGGTCTTTAAAGTGGTCAACTTATTTTAAATACAATAACAAAAACTAAAGACTCCGTGGAGCATCAACTACTAGAATGTACAAGTGCTAGTAGTATTAAAGATAGATAACACAAATGACGTTTGACAATAACCTGATTATTATTGGTTTCCATATAAAAATGTTCAACTTTGCAAAATTAAACTATTGACATATAGCGTAGTAGAAAAAAAGACGTGCAAATAGCTGTCTTTACTAAGATCCTTTATTAAATGGGCGAGTTCGGGAAACAGTATCATGTCAGGAAAATCAGAATCAGAAATAGAAATCATGCAAACGTATATACTTGCTAGTATAAGCTAAAAGACCAACTGTAATCCAATCAAGTTTTAGTTTATACTCATTAAAAACTGAATTACGTGATAAACAACATCAACATTCATTCATCGATCATTCATAATATCCAGACATTTGAAGTGACTATATATAATTTACTTATTGGTAAAACCACAATCGATTAAAATTAAAAACTAATTTCTTATAATTAGGAATCACACAGAATAGTAAGGAAGAGAGAAGCGTAAATAAGACAGAAGAGTACATAAGACAGAATAGTAACATAAGCAAGATAGGAAATTAAGCAAGAGAGAAGAGTAGAGGGACGTGTGACCATGCTAAAAGTATGTATTTTATATTCTTGTTACTAAAGTTGTTACTAGAAATCTAACAACAAAATATTTATTATTATATTATTATTATTTTTAAAAAATTTTATTTATTATTGAAAATATTTGTTTGTGTTAAAGTAACTGTGACCTATTTATTATAAATTATTTAAATATTGTTCTCTTAGTAAAACATTTCGATCCAACGTTCTTAGGAAAACTGCTTAGTCCTCAATTCTTGCGAATGAGAATTTCTAATTGCGGCAGTCTTTAATGTTGAGGAGTGGTTTTGGGACATGCAGGCGACCAATTATGGAGTTCATATAGATCATTAAATCAGATTTTCAGCTTTACGATTACGATATTACAAAGGGGTATGCTTAGAATATTTTATTTGCCATCAACAGTTCCTAAGGATTAGGGAATAGGGTTATTGACCTTAGCGTCACTCGCAGGTGTTTGCCAGTTGGTAGAACGCCTAAGGTTGAACACTAATACCAAGGTCTGTTGGTGTTAGGGTTGAACAGGAAATAAAGCTCAGGCCAGACTATGTGTGGCTTTAGGTTTGTTTCTGAAATATGGTACTTGACCATTTCTATCGTTCAGTGAGAGCGGTGAAGGGGTTAATGTGCTGTATAAACATTACAACTCTGTACTAATTTTTAACCTATTTTATACAATAAAAGATACAATAAATTGACAGTAGTGTTAATAATATTATATAATATAAAGGCAGTTGCGAATATTAATTTCTTATCATAATATTTGTCATTATGTTAAAATAAATACAAGAGATTTTTCGTTAGAAAATAAATCTAAAATTTAGACACTAGATTTCTCTTATAAAATAGCAAAAAAATAGAAGCACTTAAACTTTTTTTTAACTATTCTTATGAGCGAAAATTAAAATTTAATAATGTTTACATAGCATATTTATTTGTTAGAAAAATTATTTTAATAATATATACTCCAAAAAATATTCTAAAATGTTCAAAACCAATAGTAATCGTTGTAGCCAAACTTAATACAAAAATGACTAAAAAAAATCTTATATACTTCTGTTGCCTCACAATTTCTAATTAAACATATAGGTTATCTTTCCGTTACTATATTTTATTTTCCAAATCCAGGCGGTTTAGGATTAGTCTTAATGCGCAAAAGCTGTTGGTGCTGGCCAATAATATGTTCTAAATGATTGCACTCACGTAGTTCAGCTTTAAATTCGTCTAAAGTCTTATAAAGTATCGGATATAATTGTGGTAACAAACCGTGATCCAAAGTAGGGAATAAATGGTGAAGTATGTGGTCACCAAAATGTGTCAATACTAAGAATTGTGAACGTTTTAAGTCTCCACGATCAATGATGGTATCGACTTGGAATAAGCCCCAATCACGATCCTCTCGATTTGCATCGCCTTCATGATGTATTCTAGGATCATGATGTGCCGCATTTAAGCCAATTATACAAAATACAAAACTAGAAAGGAGTGTTATTAAAATCCATTGTCTGACACAAAACAGCAGTGATAAATCATTTGTGACATATATGCTAATTGGTATAGATAAGCAAAGTAAGTCGTGCCAATGCATTATGTTTGTATTTTTAATCGAATATACTATTCTGAAAATATAAAATAGGTTTAAGTTACATACGTTTTAAAAGCCTGCAATTAAATACTTACCTCGTAATCATTTGTATTGGAAATGCCACTAAGTAAACAATTGGTTCAGTCACCCAACTAACATAACGCATAGCTAAATTCTTTATATACGGATTTGGTATCCAACAGAGAAAAGGTTCGAACATAGATAGTTCGAGATCGTAAAATGAGTTTGGATATATGTGATGTGAAAGTGCATGCGATACACGCCAAGCTGTAAAATTCATCATACTCAGATTAAATGTATACATACGCCAATTGTCTCGTCTATGGAAATAGTTATGAGCCGAAATAACTAGCCAACATAAGGATAAGCTCGCCAATCCTGTAAAAATTATGTTCCCAGCCTTAGCACTTGCAATGATGAAAATGAAAGTAGCTACCAGTAAGCCAAAATGCATATACTACACATAAATTTATTTAATATAATTTTATTTTATTTTTTAAATAGCTCCACTTACATTAGTTGTACGCTTGGGTGTATAGTCCATTGTTTTTATTGTATCACGAACGCGTCTCTTAAGTGTTTTGTAGAACCCATCTTCATGTAATGTAAGCGTATAAATTCTAGGTTTAGCTGCATCACGCACTTTATACTTTTCAATCATTTTTGTTGGAACAGCTGAAATATGGTGTGCCTCGAAAGCCTCTGTAATATCGGTACCCTACGTGAATGAAATAAATATTAGGTTATTTAAATTCAACAAGACAAACAAAAAGTGTATATGCACGCATATAAATTTAAATTCAAAAAAGCATTTAATATTCAATATTAAATCTAAAACAGAAAACTGAATATTTATAGATGTAAGTATTACTAAGTATCAATAATAGGTATATCAATATATTATCCTAGGTATCTATAAAGGAGATGGATATGACTTATGTGATGAAATGTATGTAGACATGAATAGTGCATTTAAAATAAAAATGGTGTAAAACCCAACCCAGTACTGGCTTTCCACTATATTACCACAAACCATGAGCCAGGTTTTAATAATGTTAAAATGTTAAAGAATGGCAGCGAAATAGGGAAAATTTTCTAGTAATGCTTTCAACTCACAAAGTTTTTAAAAATAATGAACTGTCATTTAAAATACAAATGGTGTAGAAGCCAACTCAGTACTGACTTTCCACTATATTATCCCGAACCATAAGCCAGGCTTTAATAATGTTAAGATGTTGAAGAAAGAATTGCAGCAAAATAGACAAAATTTTCTGGAAACGCTTTCAATTCACAAACTTTTTAAAAATAATAAATTTTTATTTAAAATACAAATGGTGTAGGAGCCAACCCAGTATATTACCCCGAACCAAGAGCCAGGTTTTGGTAATGTGAAAAAGTTAAGGGAAGAATGACAGCAAAATAGTGAAAATTCTCTAGAAATGCTTTCAATACTCAAAGTTTTTAAAAATAATAAACTGAACCACAAAACAGACAGAGAGTAGTGCTGCAATTTGTTCTAACTTTTACGATGTTCGATCAATGCAAGTATACTCGAATTCAAACATTTAGATCAAACACTTTAAATATTCAAGATGCTGAAATAGCAAATCTGATTTAGGCGTAATTTTATTTCCAATTTCTCACGGAAGATGTATGAAGATAACGAAGGTCGAAGATATTTTTTACAGTTCTGCTTACTTAAAATTAGAATTAGAGTTTTAGTAGCATAAATTCCATTAAATGAGTTTGAAGCATCTAAACGACAATTTTCTTATAGTACTCATATATACATATTCTATAAAATAATAATTAACAGAGCTCCAGAAAAATGTGCGAACATAAAAGTTAAGTACGGCTTTAGGTCAGTTGATTAAGGTGCGCTGACTCTGAGCTTTAAATTTGGCAGGACACGAGTTCGATTCCTAGTACTTCCAGTTTAAAAAAATTATTTAAAAACAATTAAATATAAGACATAATTCCAAGACAACTGAAGATGGATATTTGGCAATGCTCGAAACAGCTGTATGGTCAGTTAAAAATTCAATTAATTAAAATAAATAACTTTTTCACTTATAAGTCATATTATATCCGATCTCAAAATATATAATGATAAGAGTATAAGACAATAAGATTTAAGTATGAAATTGGTTGCAAAAAATTCATATTCTTCTGTTAAAAAAAAAAAAAGAAGCTACTTCCCTTAAAAGCCAATATCTAAACAAAAAGTATGATTGTGCTACTACTTACTTTAATATAACACTTTGCTATAATAAATATACTTAAATTTTGATTGAATATATACATATCTATATATATAAAGAATATATGCTACCTTTGTTTCTTTTAGCCAAAAAGAACCGCCAGGATGTTTGTCAATAAAATCCGTAAAATCATAAATGGAATCATATATGCGCCATAAGCCTTCTGCTTCATCGTCTTTTTGTTTTCCTAGTAACCAACTAAAATAAATGAAACGAAACATTTTATTAATATATAAACTTATATCAGTGAAAAAAAAATAATATTAATTTGGAATTAGATATTTATAACTGGAAACTTCGCAGATTATTTTTTATAGATATTAAACAGGATCTAGGATGTTGTCCAGTACCGATGTTGTCTAGTCCATGGTACCAAAACGAATTATTATTTGTGCTTAAATATGTTTTAGTAAAAAAGACTTTCATTCAACCCCAACCTAACTCAATTATTTTTTTGCATATTTAAGCCTAAATATTGAATATTTACTTAGTAACAGAATCATAAAGAACTAAATATATAACATTGTATTTAGATAGCTTTAACCATATGTATTATAAGAATAGAGTACTTCCTTTGAATATAACTAGATGGTGAATTTGACAAGGATTATAACAAGTAAGTTATATGCCAATAGATTAATTCAACAATTATTATTTAAATTTATTGAAATCCAATACCCTTAATTGGAAAAGTGGTAGTTTAATCCGTATATTTTTTCACACTTTTACCCCAAGGTTAAAATTGACCTAAAGACTTCATATGTTAAAAAAATTCAAAATATATTTTTTTTTATCAAGAATTGTTCATCCTATGACAAGAAATCTATATTGAGTAGAAAAGGGTGGTAATATTAAAATATAAATATTTATTGGCTTTAATAACAGTCTTGATAATAGTTTATATACAAAATATCCACCAATTTTGGCACGTTTCTGAACATTTTTTTTCTTTATTAATAATTAATTTCAATCGAGTATATATATTATATTGTATATTGTATTGGAGTATATTGGCCATTATTATAAACGATTTTTAACCATTTTTTATGTAGCTTTATATATCCATAGGTCTTTAACTTCTGTGGTTTATCGGCTTGCTTGAGAACTTGATCAAGTGATTTTAAGTGGCTTTTTAGTTGCTTAATATTTTACCATTTAGAGAATTTTACAGAGATCGAAAGAAATGTTAGCCAAATGATACAATGTCTGGGTTATATGGTGGATGCATTAAAACTCCAACTAAGTTCCATTAATTTGTTTCGGGTAAACATAGATTTATCTGGCACTATCATGATGGAACACAGCTACTTTTCTGTTGGTCAATTCTGTTCGCTGTTCTTTGATTGCTTCATTCAAGCTCTCCGAGTTGTCCGAATCCTACAAAACATTCACTATAACTTTGTTTACCGTCAATACATGTTTTGAAGTTGTTTGTGGAGGGTAACCGGCTCTTTAGATCCTGATCGCCTGCATTGAATCTATAATACATCTCTCCTCGCCCTTAATGATTCTCTTCAAAAATCGTTTGATTGTAGCGTTCGGTCAATAGCGATTCACTGATAGTAATTGAATTAATCAAATTTCTTTGTGTTTATTTCAAACTATCATGTGTTTAATGTTAATTGCATGCGTTATCTTCTGACTTTCTTCTGCCAGAAATCGGCGAATACTTTTTATTTATTTCAATATATAAAAAATAAGAATCACTTATTTAAAAAAAAAATATTTTTCTACTTAATTGGATTAAATTTGACCCAAAGAGATTAATATGAAGGTTAATAGAGTTTAAGATATCAAGAAGAATCTATTTTTAAACCCAAATATGTTAAAATTTTTTTTGGCCTCGTAAGTTTATGTTACTTTCTTGTAAGCTAACTTTAAAATTTCTGTGAAGAAGTTCTTATTAGATAAAGAAGAATTATTTATATCTATTTTAATATATTGCATTTAAACTTTTTGTTTTCAAACAAACCATCCCTCGATCCGTATTTCCCGCACTTCTGTAGCCGTTTTCAAAATACATTAAATATTTAACGTGTGCTTCGATGAACGGTGTTAAGGTGAGCGATCGAACTAAACTTTGATCTTTTAATCAAAGGAAATGTATTGAAAAATTAAATGCACTTGAGCTGTAATCACTTAATTCGTTAATATTTAAAAATAAAATTATAAAACTACTTATATATGCAAAAAGCATTATTTCGCCGCAAATGACCGTGGTTCATATGCGATGCAGGTTTTTTTCACTATTTAATTATACTTTTGATATACTTTGTAAAAACCTCACTATTATTAAATAAAAATGTTGTTATAATTTATTTAATTTAAATAAACTGCATTCTGTTTATGTGAATACTTGTTTGTAGTATTTAGTAAATTTGTAATTGACTTATAAATTCAAGGTGAAAGGTTAGTTTTTAAAGAGCATGAATGAAATAAATTAGTCTAAAATAGAAAAAACACTTAACCGGTTACTGATAATTATTATAGTAGAACCCAAGCTTCAGTTCTCCCAAAAACTAAAACTTGTTTTCTTTTCTTTCTTTTCATATTATTTTTATTTTCTATCATATATTTTTTGTTTATGTTTGAAAAAATTTATTCAAAAAAAAAAACAAAAAAAAAATTAATTATATATAAACATAAAATTTATCTGCAAATCATTCTTCAAAAACTCATTAAGTAGTTATTAATATTTCAGTGATGTACTGACCTCTGCACTGTGATGAGTTTTGAATTTCTGTACGTTGGATACTTCGTCGCAATACCACATTCCTTCCACTTTTCTATAACCATTTTACCGATTTGTTATTTTGTTTTGTGTTTTGTGATTTGTGTTTTGTGATTTGTAATTGTTTAAATAATTTATTTTTGATATTTTTTTAACTATTTTTAAATTTATTTTATTATCCACAAATGAATTCGCATTAATCGTGTGCAACAAATCTAACTTCTGAAACCAACTAATTCGCTGTTTGCTTCGAACTATCATTTTATATTATCAAATCAACTTGGACAGATTAGGTACAATCTCTACTTTGCTTTATGGAATTTTTTATACAATATTAAATTTCAAATATATTATAGCTCTTATAAGCATTTCCACCGAAGTCATGCTCCGAAGGGTATCGGCAGTTGATAATTTTATTTTGCTTTATTTTGCGGCTGAGTATAGGAATTTCTTATCAGAGATACACTAAGAGAAATTTGTTTTTTTTTTTGTTTTGTGTTTTGTTATAAATTTTTCAAGAAACTTGACACAGCAATTCTAAAAGTATGAACCCCTTTTTTGAAGCTTAACTCCTCACCAAGAGATATGCAAAATCCGATATATGTTTTTCACACCGGCATTTCATTTTAAAATTTTATTTTGGATTTATAAAAATAGAAAAAAGTATATTAAGATATTATTGTATATAATAATATATTACTAATAGATATATTATATATTATTATATATTATAATATATTATCACTTCTCAACCGATTTCATAGTTTCACTATAGATTTATGGAACACAATATTATTGTGCAAATTAATGAGACTCTTTAATAAATTTGATAACTAAAGTATCAAAATACTAAAACTGGCAATAATATGATTTAATCAAATAATTAATAATTTATAATGTATCAAAACTGGTGGAAATCACATAAAAAAAAAAATAAAAATACATATATATATAAATAAAGAATATAAAATATAAATATATATAAATAAAAAGTATATAAATAAAAGTATATATATAATTAAAAATATTTTTATGAATAAAAATATATATAAATAAAAATATATATAATAGTAAGAATATATATATAAATAAAAATATATGTATAAATAAAAGTATATGTACGAATAGAAATATGTATATAAATAAAAATATATGTATATAAATAAATATATATATAAATACGAAAAATATGTAAATAAAAGTTTATATATAAATAAAAGTATATATATAAATAAAAATATATATATAAATAAACATATATATATGAATAAATATATATATATAAATAAAAATATGTATATAAATAAAAATATATGTATGAATAAAAATATATATATAAATAAAAAAATATATTTAATAAAAATATATGTATTAATTATTAATAAATAAGAATATACAAATAAACTATAATACATACATGTATAAATAAAAATATATGTATAAATAAAAGTATATGAACGAATAAAAATATATATATAAATAAACATATATATAAATAAAAAAAATATATAAATAAAAATATATTTACAAATATATATATATATATATATATATATGTTAATAAAAATATATGTATAAATACACATAAAAATATATATAAAAAAGAATATATCAAGGCTAATGAATCACAAAACTTTTTATTTTAAAATAATTTAATTTTTATGGTGGACTATACCAAGTATTGGTGAGTTTCGAAAATTACCAAATACCCATCATCAGTGCTATTTAGAAATATTTCATGGATTTGAATATTTGTAAATAATTTTTAGATTACAAATACCCAGAATTAAATTATTAGTAATTTAAAACGTAGAGCCATCTTTTTTAAGGAATTGATCGGTAGGTTACCGTACCTTTTGTTACTCTACCATAATTTAAGGCTTGTCATTTCACATACAAATTCACTTGATTTGCTTAATTAATCAGATAACAAGCATAAACTATACATATATAGTAATACATAGCCTAATTAACAATTGTAGTTTTGATATTTCAGTATAATATATAAAATGTAAAATATATATAAAAATATCTTTTTGCGTAGACAATCCTTTTATAGATATTTTTTATTTTATCTATACATGAATAATAGTGTAAATAATATACATAATATAATATATTGTGTATAATATAATACATATTCTGAATAATATAATATTGTAAATATAACTACAAAATAAAAAGTTTAGTTTTATTTTTTAAGAAAAAATATTAAATTTAAATTTGATATCATAAAATAATTATAAATTTTTTATACTTTTCTTGCAGTGAACATAACATTTTAATGGTAAACGACCAACCACAAAATATTGTATATAGAAAAAATATGATATCATCATTAAAAGTTTAAAAATGAAATAAAAAAAAGAAAGAAAAATACGTTTGTCATAACACCAAAAGCTACCTTTGAACCGAGAGAATCAATATACTTGACCAATTCCTTTTATTATTTTTATTATTTATTATTTATAAAATAAAAAAAATGTATTATAATTATAAATAAAAATTATATTTTTTTAAATTATAATTTATATAATTATATTTTACCAGACTCGTTTTTTGGTCTGACTGTACCAAAATCTAACAACAGTCATATTATATTTAATTATACCATAGCACAGATTGGACTTATAAATCCCGAAAATATAGTGGAAAAGATGAACGCGACCCCAGAGAGTTGGGGAACGATAGTTGGGGAGTCATATGTGATTTAAGTTCTCAAAACGAAGAAATTAGATTTAGAAAGGAGAACTAAAAACTAGAATAAAAAATATAATAAATAAAGTGAGAAAACCAAGAAAATGCGGTGAAAAGTGGTGGTCTGGACGCAAATCGAAAATCAAGAGAGCATGGCTTGAAATCCCAACATAAAAGAGACCCTCCTCGTAGTAATGCGAAATCGGTTTCAAGAGGGTATATATCTCGCTGAAGAGGAGGTATTTAAGTATACTACATATTAATGTTAGGGCGTCGGGCACACTATTCCGACGACGGTCGGTTTGACGATGCATAAAACATTCCACTTCCTCACCACAAAAAAAAAAAAATACCAGAGCACTCTTCATACCTTATACGGGTACCGCGTATAGGGGGTATTACTGTATATATATACTTTGTGTGATTAATTAAAATAAGTGTAGTTTTATTTTCTTTAATTATTTCACTGAATTTCATTTAAATTACATTTAATTTAAATATGTTTAAACTTGATGAAATGCTAATAAAAAATGTTTTGGAAATGGACAACTAACTATTAAACTTAAATGTTGACATACTATATAGGTATTATTAACACATGTAAATGTTTTAATGAATAATACTATAATAAGTTTATTATTAAGATCAGAGTAATAATAAATGTATAAACTTAACTGCCAGGCTAAAGAGTAATTTCAAAAATTAATTAATTTGTTAATAGCGACGCTCTTGATTATATGGTTTTTTTTTTATTTTTTAAAAAATATTTTTTTTTCAGTGTGTTGTGTGCATTATATATTTTCTCTCTTTTTTTTGATACTTTGATAGACATTACCCTACAGTGGACGACTAGTAAACGATCACGCTACTAAATCATGTTTGATTTTAATTAATTATATGAACGTACTTACTTTAATCAGGAGCTGTATGTTTTATTTAAACCCTTCTTCAAATTTAAGGTATATATTAAAAAACTTTTATAAATAATCTTTTAAAATGACTAATTAATTAAATTTAATACAATGCCTCTTTGCTAAATATAACATTATCAAAAATTTACTATAGGATATACAATCTAAAGAAAATTTCCAGTGTTACCTAAAACCTAGTTGACCTTATTATACAATGTACTTACTATATTATTTTAAATAAGCGATATAAAAAAAATTACTGTTTGCTATATTTATAATATGTATTATACATAACAAATTATTATTATTATTATATTATTTTCTTAACTATGTACATTTATTTGTGTTTATTTTTTTCGGTTGCTTTCGACTAGTAAAATTATTTAAAAGTTTTAATCTTAACTACTCATATCTTAAAATGAATCGTTGAGTTTCATTGTTAAGTTGGTCATTTTGAAGATATTACATATATTAAAAATATGCTGCAAGCATTTTTTATCAATATTTAAATACAGTCTAGTATAATAATTATAGATAATGAACACAAACTGTACAGACAAGATAATACGACAACTATAAACAAGATAATGAACACAAGCTTTTTGGTGCTAATGAACTAATGAAAATTAAAATCATTAACGAATATTATTTTATTTATTGTTAAACAGATCCATTATGTACACAACTTTCTAATCGCTCTATATTCAAGCTACTTAATCGTTCAGGTGCTTGCTTCGTTCATCTCATTCGCTTATGATATTTTATAGCCTCTCACTATCGTTCACTTAAAAAGCATTCACTTATTCGAAATCCATTAAATTACGAACTATTGAAAAACCTACAACTTTTATATCATTATATATCATTGAAAATTATAACACAAACAAAAACTAGTACTCGTATGATGGATAAAACAATAACTAAAAAATAAGAAATATTTAGATAGGAAACTGTCATCAATATCCGAGAATTTTATTCGTTTTTCGGTTTGAATAACTGCAATTATAATTAGCAGTTTTCTTTACTTATCAATATGAAGCTTGACTTAAAATGTGATGTTCAAATAACAGTTGTTTTGAAACATTTTAATAACTGCATCTAACAAACTGCGTTAAGTTCAAGCTCCCCACTTCCATTATGGAATACTTAAAGACATTACTATAAAATCTAACGAAAAATTTTTTTTTAAACATTGATCACTAGTTTTGAAACAGTAATTTTCTCTGGCTAATTCCGCTAAATTGAACGTCGTAAATATCAATCGACAGTAAATTGATACTATAGTCAGCTGTCTCAGAACTAATGACAACCGACGGCGTATATACATTAAGACTGAAAAGTTTTCGGAAATTCTCATTTAAAATTCGCGCGCTGTATATTTTTCGATATTTTAAGTTTATGTAGTTTGGCAGCACTGTCCTTAATTACTATGCCAAAAATGAGCGCGATCTGTCAGACAGTTCTTTTACGGCAGCTGTTGAAACCAGTTCACCTCAGTAGTGCGTTGCGAAATGTCTTCGACGGTCGTACGACCGTCCTGAAAGGCTTTGTACCACTCATAAACTTGAGTTTTCGATAAAACTGATTCCCCATAAGCCTTTTGTAGCATTCGCAACGATTCTGCACACGAAATTTCGTTCGAAACACAAAATTTGATGCAAACTCTTTGTTCAATATTTTTTTCCATTGTTTTTTTCGCAACGCACTACTGAGGTGAACTGGTTTCAACAGCTGCCGTAAAACGAACTGTCTGACAGATCGCGCTCATTTTTGGCATAGTAATTGTCCTTAATTGCTGCCAAACTACATAAACTTAAAATATCGAAAAATATACAGCGCGCGAATTTTAAATGAGAATTTCCGAAAACTTTTCGGTCTTAATGTAGAAACCCATTTAAACGGAGTTGTTAAAAACTAATTTAAAGTGTGAAGTTGAAAATATATTAAATTGAAATTCTATAAAATATATACATTTTATGTCTTTATATCAATATAGTCCGACATATTTTAGGTAGGTTTGAAGGTCAAAACCCCTTGGAATATGCCACTAAGTATATGAAATATACTTACACTACCAAAACTAATTATTGTGTATAGATATAAAAAATAATTATTCTCTAAAAATAAGTAAAAATAGATAAACAAAAATTAAAAAAAAATAGGAAAAAGAAAAAGAATTTTAAAAAATATTAGAAAAAGTAAAAAAAATAAAATAAAATAAAAAAAAATTTAAACAAAAAATATGTAATAAAAAATAATAAAAATAAAAAATAAAAATAAAACAAAAAATTAAAAATTAAAAAAAATAAAACAAAAATAAAAATAAATTAAAAAAAATACATAAAAACAAAAAATAAAACAAAGTTAGAAAAAATGCTGTTCTCTTTAAAACTGACTCTTGCCTTTTTAAAGTCAAGAACCACTGATAGTTCTTTTAAAATTAAAATCACTGATCTCCACAAAGTATTTATGACGACACCAGTTTGCGTCGTCACTGTAATAAAATATGTTAAAATGTGTATTAAAATGATGAGTAAATACAATTATAAAAATCATTGTGATCGATTTGTTAATAATAATTATTATTATTCAACAAAAAAAATATAGTATATATAGTATATAGTATAAATATTGAATTTCATTGTACTGTTCGTTCATCCAAACGGGAAACTGTTTGAGTAATTTATTTGAGATATTGTATGTAGCTGTGATGAAGTATCAAATATACTTTGCTTCTTTGAAGTATCAAATGTTATTTTTTTTGTTTTATTTTTTAATTTTTATAAAAAATTATTTATATTACAGATATTTCGATCTATTTCATAGACCATCTTCAGTGTACGATTTATTTCTATAATATAAATAATTTTTTTATAAAAATTAAAATACAATTAAATATTTAACACAAATTTATAAGTGTAGTTTTTTAATAAAAAAACATTTTTAATTCTTATGTGCTAAATTAACAACCTAAATCCAGTAATAATAAAAAAAAAAACTTCAATATTTAGTGTAAATATAAACTAACGGAAAAGCCATACAAAAGAAATTCAAAAAAATAAAAAGTCAAATTATTTACATATATGTATATATACATAGAACTGTATACATAGAACTGAAATGTATATATACATAGAGAAAAATATAATTAAAATTATATTAATAAACTGTTGTTTAAAAACTACCTGGTAAATATGGTTAAGGTTGTTTCCTTCACATTTTTTTTGATTTAATGGAACATATTTTTGACATTATTATTTATGTTAAATAATATTGTTCTTAATATTATTCGTGACTTCATTTAAATTTAATTTAAATTTAATATATATATATATATATACACATCTACAATTTTTTGCATAGTTACCTCTATCAAACATTATATTTTTTCATTCTATTAAACTAACTTTTAAAATCTTTCTGTAATATAGAATTGATTATGATATTTTGTTATAAAATTATTACAATGTGTATAATTTCTAGGAACTACTTAAGCAGCGTATTTTTTCAGATATACCTGACGCTGGGATCTACCATGTAGTGATTAAATACATTTAAACGCCTACATAAGAAGTGTTTCCCTTGAGACGGGCTGCCACAAGGAATTATTATCTAGTAATAAAGCACATTTGGATGCCTAACCAATACGAGTCTCTTGTGAGACTAACTACCAATAGGTTATACCATTGTATTTAATTTTTTTTAAGTAAGTTTAAAGAAATTCTTAAATGTAAGTGAATATATGTAATATTATTAAATATATAATATAATATACAATATATAATTACTATAAAATGTTATATAATATGATATAATATATTATAGTACGATAAATAACACGTATTGCATTTATAAATAGCCGAATGTGACCAAATATAGTTAAAATCGAACTAGAACTTTTAACTAGAATTACAAATTGGTGTATTTTACGAAATTTTAACTTTATATAAAATATAATTTTAATTTGAAATATAATTTAATTAAAATTTTATATAAAATTTAATTTTTGTTTTATATAAAATGTAATTTTCATTTTAAATTAACTGTAATTTTAATTTTAAATAAACTGTAATTTTAATGTTAAATAAAATTTAATTTTTATTTTATATAAAATATAATTTTGATTTTAAAAAACAACCAATTTTTATGTTATTATTATTAGTATTGTTAGGGGATGCGGCACTGCGATCATCGGGCATATTGTGACCCCTTCTGAGTTTCTTAAGTTTAGTATAGAACCTACTTTACAGAGTTTTATTGCCTCTTCCGTAAGAATATACATTCCCAGGAGCCCAGGAATATACATTAACAGAAACAAAAAGAATTAATACTTAGTCAATAGTTAAGCAAACTAGAAATTGTAAGTATTTAACACCACCTTTAGTAGTTGAGGAACCTATTGAAGTAAACATGGAATGTACGTGACTACAACTCAACTTTGCAAATAACGCTTATAAACAAAAGTTCTTATACTTGATTCCAAGAACGGCCGAGTCTACATCCCGGAGCCACTCGACAACCTGGACGATCAAACGCTGTTCAACACTCCCCAAAAGGACTACACAAGCAGGTTCCAGCGGGTTATTAAAATAACAACAGAAGATACTTGTTTTAACACAATTTTTTATGTTAAATGGTGTTTCATTTACCTTGATATTAATTATCAAATTTAACCACGATTGGTGTTCAGACATTCGACTGGAATAAATACAACAAAAAAATTTTTAATAAGTACCAGAAAAACGTATTAAATATAACGTTTTTTTTATTAAATATAACATGTAAAAATATTATTTTATATTAACACAGAATTTGCAGAGTTTGCATCTCGTTTTATTAATGCATTACAATATTATTAAATAAAAAAAAACACATTATTTAATTATAAAAATAAGGCTTAAAAATGAAACACTAAAAATGGAAAATAACTGGATCTAAGCATAACAAAAAGCAAGAGTAAGTCCAGTTATGTAGGTATGGGACTCCGACATCTTGTAAAATAGCAGGATTAAACACGCGCTAAACTATGTACTTAATTTATGTAATTATAGTTATTTATTTATTTTTATTTTTAGAAAATTAGAAATTCTGTAAAACAATATAAAATGGAAGGACAACAAATCATAATATATAAAATATTATTTTTCTTTATAATTCGTTGCAGTAATTTCCACAATTGGCAGTCTAGGAAGCGATACAAAAATTAGTTTTTTTTCTTTTAGCATAAAATGTTGCATCCCAGCGTAAATATGGAATTTCTTAACAAGACAATATGTTTCAAAATGATTTAAATATAAATCATTTATAAATATTTAAATATAAGAAATAATTCCCAGACGACTGAAGATGGGTATTTGGCAATGCTCGAAACAGCTGTATTGTCAGCCAATAATTCAATTAATTAATATAATATAAAAATAATTTTTGTTTTTGTACTTTAATACTTTTTGAAACCTCTCTAAAAAAATCTCATAACATCACAAAGACAGTTGACTTTGTTAAAGAGTTGTGGGTTATTGTGGACTCTAAGTAGTTACTTTTTTCTTTAATTTAAAAATCGACAGTATCCTTATTCACGCCAAAGAGTCTTTTCAGACACTTTCCACTCCTTAACCATCGAACCATGTGTGTTAAATCATCAAATACATTCACTTCTTTTAAGCATGTTTTTAAATACCTGCGTCTTAGTATTTCAGTTTATAAATTATTTATATAGCAATATACCAAAAAACTGCTGTTGATGAATAATGCAATGGAAAGAAGAAACATACATATGAAAACCTTTTTCATTATTTAACCGACAAAGCCTTTTTATAATATATGGGCCTTGTTATAAATGAAATAATTATATCAAATTAAATATTGAAGAAGTTGTGATTACGATTGCATCACAATGGGTAAACCGTGGAAAGATTTTTTATTAGTGCTCAAACAATTTTGCTACTGCCTGAAGAAAACTAGGTCCGAAAGAAATTTCTCACAGTACCCGCCAACTACAACAAATATTTCTATCAACATTATTACAAGATTTTACTCTATTTTGGTGATATATATGTATATCGCACATTTTAAAATAATAATAATCAAAAGATGCAAATAAATTTAGCATTAGCTATAATTAATTTTAGAATAGGTCACGTATTCTATATAGCATAATTCTTCACACACTTAACCGCAATAATAAATATTTAAAATAATATTAGATTAGAAATTTTTAGTAACAAACACAAAAATTAATCTAATACTCAATGTTTGTTTCATAAATATAATTCATACCTCCATATTGCCTCTACACTAGTAGGCACATAAATGGCGATAACAAGTGCGTACCGGCAGCCGCTTAATGTTTCCGCGCTGCATAAACGCAAAATAGCATCAACACTAATAACCCTACATACGAATGCCACCTTTTGATACAGGAATGCAATTAATGTATAAAACAATTTTAAACAAATAAACACATATTTATTTTAGCGACTATCTTACAGGCATATTTATATTTATATTAACATCAATTAATCGCTGTCATCACTGTCCTGGTCGTCTTTTTTCTTCAGAATCTCTCGAAATTCCTTGACTTTAATTTTTTGAGGAATAATTTGTAACAAGAATTCCAAAGATTCACGACTCTGAGCGAACTTTGCCAAATGTTCATACTTAAGCGTATTTCCTTTGTCGACCTTAGTAATGGATTCCTTTGTGACATGTTGAATGAACATTTCTGTAGCTTTGGCCATCAAAAACAATACTTCATTTGTAATTTGTCCAGTATCCAAGGAGCTCTTCATAATTGTACGTATGCGGGCCAACGGCAAAGCAGTGTCCGTTGGCAATGACTTTCCAGTTGTTGAATCCGGAGCAACCATTATTTATTTCATCATCAAACAAATCAACTAACAAATGCAGCTCGAAGTGCAAACGTCAGGCGCCAATTGAAAAAAGAAAGCAATGTTATTTACAGAGTTGCTTTATTTTTCAAAATGTGTAGCAAAGAATATCTTACAAGAACGGCAACTGCATTGTGAACTAAAATTTATTTTTTGCACAACAACACTTTACCGTGTAGCTCTTGAAAATGTTAGTGAAAATAGCATTAACATCAGCTGAAATCATTGAAATTTTTCAACTTTTCACCTTTTTCCGATACTTCAGGTACTTTTGAGAACGAAATATTTCTTTCTCACAATCAATGTAAGAAAGTGTGCGGTTTTGTTTTTTGGCTTTGATTTTCTGAAAAAATTATAACATATAAAGTAATAGTATATATTGCTCTTATAATAAATTATAACGAATAAACTTAGCAAACAAAAATAAATTTCAATGTTGAAATGGGAAAATACAAGGGAAGAAAAAATTTTAAATGTTTCTTTTTTAAATTTTCACACAATAATGATGAAAGAAGATAAATTATCATTTAAGTTCTATGCACACTTCTAATATAAAAGTTTTGCAAAAGTATTTTACAATTTATTTTAAAATATTAGTAAGTCTGCATTTAATATTCACATTGAGATTATAATATTTAAATAAAAAATTTTGTTTGTTCTGTTTTTTTTGTTATTTTAAAATTTTTTTTATGACATTATTTATTATTTTAATGACATAAACATAACAAAAAAATAAATATTTTTAATTTTTATATTATGCAAAATTTTTATTAAATTCATCAAAAATAAACTAAAAATTTACAGAATATATCTCGTTTAAATCTTGCATTAATTCTGGTAAATAATTAAGCCTATATCATATGCCAAAATATTATGAAAAATAATGTTTGAAAAGCAATTTTTTTTCGTTACGCTCGAAGTGTCAGGAGTTTCCGTTCTTTGTAAGATATTCTTTGACGTGTATTATCTTACAAATATTATACCCAGTTCTGCTAATGTAACACGAATTCAAACAAGGTTTGATGATACAGCAAATTATGTGTAGTAACACAATGTTCTATCAGATTTTTTAGGACATACAATAGAACATACAATGTTTTTAATTGCTGTGGTAAATTCAATTTTATTATTAAAAATAAACGTCGTGGTGAAATATGGTGAATAATATAAAAACCATTATAGTAACATGTGCTATGTAGCTGCAATTATTTTTGTCTAGATTCTCTATTGCAATTTGGTGTCATTTCAGAAAAACAAAGTTCAGTTTAATTTATTTAATGTTTATTTCGTTAATATAATTACAATTTTTAATTATTGGTTTTAAATTTATGTGAATAATTGTAGAAAATATATAGTGTAATTGTACAATAAGTGAGGATTGGGATATAATGGAGTGGATATTGTCATAGTTGTTAATTTGGATAAAATTTTAAAATAAATCAGTAAAAATTTACATAAAAATTTATTGTTGCGCTATTTTTAAACTTTTTGTTTGTTATTAGGCGGGTCACTAATGAAAATTTAATATTTGTAATTAATTTTTTAGTTCAAATTTTTAGTATATTTTAATATTTTTTTTATTCACCACAGCACTGCAAGTGTGAAAATTATAATTGAGTTTTATTTGAATTTAAAGTATTTGAATTTTGTATATATAAAGCTTAAATATGTAAAATATTAATTATTACCTGTGTAAATTATATTATTCATGAAAAGTATGTTTACCAAATTAACTCATTGAACTCATTATATACTCATTTATATTCTCAGAATAATATTGATATTGCTCTCGCCAATAACATTGGCAAGACTTTTGTAGAAACGTTTGTAAACAAATAATTTAAAAAAAATTCCATTATAGTTAGTGATTTTGTAATAATAATTTGAGTTTTCTATAAAGCAAGGAGTAAAATATAATAATAGTTTTGTTTTGTGTGTTATATTAGTCTACTTAATATATTATATATGTGTATAGTTAAAATTTATTCTATTAGTTTTTCAGTGTCCATTGTTTTTAAATGCTCTCTTACATAAGCTTCGTGAAAGAAAGGCAACAGATTTTCAGGTTGAAGGTAATATTTTATCGGATTATATGCATCTACTGTTGTTTGAATTGCTTCTTCTAATTGAGCACCCATATAAACAAATAACGCGAGTTGTAGTATTATTACAAATACAACTACGCTTAAGGCCATCATTATAGGTATAATAAATCTGGTTTCGGGAAGATTGAAGGATTTTACGATATGGTGCACTTCCATAGCGCGAGGCACAAAATATACCAAGTTGCTTGCCACGTACAATACGTAAGGACCGATGAGCAGAAAACCATATCTTGCTTTCAAACAACCTTTTCTTAACTCCATGTCATCTATTTTCTCATAATCTCTAGAGTGAAAAGGTTCGTGACTTATGAATCCCCAAAAGTATCCACACGAGGCCATAGCAGTAAACAAAATAACGGCGCATACGTCTAGAACAGAGTAAACGTATCCAAGTGTGGTGCGAGCATACATATAATTCACGAAAGGAAATACTGACGGCGTAAATTTTGGATATATTGGCTTACATGAAGTAATTGACATCATTGCTACAATAAATAGCATTGAAGTAACTCCAATAACCTTTAGAGGCTTCTTGAACGGCTCAAAAATTTTAGCCAAGAAAGGGAAGATACATGACTTCTACAAAAAACAATAAAAATAAATTATTTACATTTAAATAAAATAGCCAATAAAATGAAAAAGGATTTAAATTAATTAATAAAAATATTAAATAAATAAATGAATATAAATAAAATGGTTATATAAATAACAATATCTTATACAATTAATATAGGAAACATAATTCTTGAGCAATTATATTACCGGTTTTGGTGGAACTCGTTTAGGCGGGTATACCCAGCGTTTTTTTTGCATTAATTCATCGTCAGACTCACCGCCTGCATAGAAAGGTGAATTAACTCGAACGTCGTCAAGTTTTGCTTCAAATCGTCGTCGGGTATGGGAAGACATCATTGGATTAAATTCCATGATTCTAAATCTAAAAAACCAATTTATATATAGTTATACATTTTATAAATATATATTATAAACGCAACTTTAAGTTGCCTTAGTTTTCACATGTGTTTAATAGAGCAAAATATAATAAAATTTGCGTTTAAATCATTACAATTATGCAGTAATAGTGCTTCTAACAAATACTTCAAAGCATTCTTTAATTAGTCTGTATATTAGTCCGTATCTATATACAATTTCACAACGACGGTGAACTGAAGCTGGCGTTGTTACAAGTGCTAACAAAGCGGTCGAATTAAACAAATCTTGCCGACTTTTCATGAACATATGAGATTTTATATGAACATAAGATTAGAACGCGTTATCGAATATGCGTATATTGGACAACATGTTACTAACACTGCCAATTGAATCACAATGTATGAATCAGAGAACTCAGAGTACTCTCATAAAAACAAAGTATAAATGCCTATAAATATATTCTCATACACTACTTGTACGCACTCACACTCGCCACAGAAATGATTCATAAGTGTTTTCATTAACATTATAATATGTACTCGAGTAAATTTCAATGTACTCATCGAACGTGTATGACACTTATTGGCGTTCGTAAAATCTGTATGTGAGTGCTGTTGTTTGCTAACCAAAAAATTTGTGTTTGTTTTTATTCTTTTTGTTTTTTTTGGTGTTATGCTTTTAGTGTGTGTTGTTGTTGTTAGCATTATAAATGCATTAGTTTGTTTGTGTTCTTGAATATTATGTGTGCATTAAATTACTGGTTGTTTCAGTTGGAAATTATATGTACAATAAGCAATAAGAAAATTTTTGCCGATTGCGACGTAATACTCATGAATGAACCACAAATCAATTAAATCACTTTTTTGTCGAGTGTCGGTGTTTGTTAGTAAAGAAAGAGTATTAATCATTATAAATGCAGTCAGCTGTATGTACGCATCAGATCAAAAAATACTTCTTTGCATCAATAAGAATAAGTATTCTTTGCATCAGATGGAGTCGTATATGCGAAAAAGAGAGTCAGAATGCGTATAAATGAAATACGTTTAATTGATCATAAATTTATAGAGAAGTTATCTTTTATCATTTAAGAAATTTTGAAGGCAGATGGTTTCAACATCTTCAAACAAAATCAAATGAAATCAAATCTTTATCATACAACATATTGTTAGAATGGAGATTTATGCACACCCAAAACATATAAAACTGCAGAAGCGAGTGAAATTTAATACATACTGAGAGGCCATATGCATCATACAGTAAGTGGACACTTATTTTTAAGCGTCGCCTGGCATAACAACCAGACAGTATGGCAACACTGATTTAGCAGCATTTTGACAGCAGCATTTTGACATTTGACAAGCAATGACTTTTGCAGGTTTTTGGTATTCTCTGTCTAGTTTGGATACTGGCAAAGTTAGCACCAATTTTTGCGTGTATGAAATTAATTATTTTTGCTTTTTCATATATTTTTAATGAGCTTATTTATATGAAAGCTTTTTTATAGTAAATTGTCCGGCTTTTCTGCTTGCAAAAAAAATGACTAATAGAATTTAGGATGTGTACGAGTTAGGTTAAGTTGATGCTAAACCAAATGGGAAATTTTTTGGGATTTTTTGCACTGCACACATTTAGCCATTTATCAACACGTATCGACACATCACTACATTATCGGCACAACTTAGAATTTCCCTCATTTAGAACGCAACTTAGCCTAACTCGCACACGACCTTAGTCTAACTCGCACACGACCTTAATTCAGCGTCTACATCAGCTAAGATTTTAGCAAGTTTTTTTTATTTATTCTCATTATTCACATTTGCATTAATACAAAATAAGTCTTAAAAAGTTATGTATTATTTTCTGTTGAGTAACATATATAAATAAAATTTGGGCAGTAAAATAATAAATTATTGTGACAATATACAAAAAATAGACATTCAAAATGCTCCATTGAGCGTTTGCAGCGGCTTTATTACGTTTAAACAGTGTAAGAATTCATGTTTATCTTACTTTTTCTGCATTTTAGTGCTTTTTTCCGATGTTGTATTAAACAACGTAAAATAATGAAATACCAAAAAAAACTTACAAAAAAAGAGTTAGATTTTTGCGAATTTGGAAAACAAATAAAATTAACGCATTTAAAGCAGGTTTGACAGCAACGTACGTTCAATCATACAAGGTGTATGTTTCACTTGTTTATGAATTTTGTGACACCACCGAAGCGTCATTTTCAAATGTCTAATTTGCCTGTTTTCTTCTATACATAATTCTCGCAAGCAAAACAATTGTCTACGAATTTTCTCAATCGCAAATCTGTGAAAAATTTCTTACGGAAAATAACTTATGTTTGTAAATGTTTGGACACTTTATTGAATTTACTACGTGAATGAGTTATTTAGTCCTTTAATATCTTATTTACCAAAGTTTTTATTGCGTCTTTGACATCAAAGGTATTGAGTGAACTTCGTATTATAAAAATTGGTTGCTAAACGTACTGATTCCAAAAATAATAAAATATGAACTCTAAACAATACAAAACCAAAGCTGGTAAAGCACGTACTATTTCGGATTCGTCTGATGAGGAGTATATTGTGGAAAAAATTTGCGACCGGCGCGAACGCAAGGGCAAGGTAAGAAAAAACTGTTTTGGAATTTAAACAACTAACAATAATATAATTTATAAGTGTTCAATGCATATAAAATATGAAACTATAATATATTTGTGAAGACTTAGGTCTTGTGAAATTCATCATTACAAAAGCAAAAAAAAAAAAGCCGTGGCTTTCCCCTTCAACAGTTTGTTTACATTTTTCGAAGAAAAAGTTTAGTTAAAAACACCAGTTCATATTAAGTTTTATCTGAATAATAATTTATGGCAAAGACTTGCCTTAATTTTAGTTGCACGACAAATGTTTGCTTGTGAAATATTCTCAAAAAGTGAAAGAAAAGTTTCTCCCCTAACGCCATTATTCTAAACAGACCTATTCAGACTTCAGTTTTATTGATGATATAAAATATTTATTGTTGCTTCAATGTACTTTTATTATAAAATTTAATATGTTTGAAACGCCACTTTGAAAACAAACATTGTCTAATCCAATCCAATTAAAATTTTTATTTTTAGTTTAATCCCTATAAAACACATAATTAGTAATCATTCATCTTTAGAGTGAGATAAAAATGATGTAAAACTGTCTAATAAATTACAATATATAGAAATGTGAATTGCTTTTTATTAATTTGTTTACTTTTTCAGCCAGGCGTGACAATAAAATGTACCTCGATTAGATCTAATGCATAATTCGGAGCAATAAGAAATCGTCACATTAAAGTGATCAAAATATACATCCTATTGCAAAAGTTAGCTGTTAGTGTCTTAAGTTTGATATGAACTAATTCTTTCTATGAATTTAGCAACATAAATTAATTCTTAATAATTTGTTCTGCTTAACTTTCAATTATATATTAAAGCAGTATACGGACTAGACCAGTGTCCTATAAAAAAATTCGTCATGGAAAATATATTCAGTATAAGACTCACATTAGCACGTTGACTTCATCGAAAACGTAACAAATATGATATTTAACTTATCATTTCAGAGTCGAGTATAATGCCATAGTATGTTGATTTCATCAGTTGTTATATCTAAATCCGTTTCAAACGACTTGAACCAAGAAAAATAGCAATCTACTATGAACATAGCTTTGTATAATTATAAAATACATTCTCAAAGATAGGTTAGTTTATAGTGAAAAAATATGGACATTATTGGATTCATTCGCATCATATATGAAAAATTATGGTATATTATTTACATTAATCTAATGTAATGATGTCTTCTCTATTGCCCTATAGATATAGATATAGATAAGTATGTGAAATCCTAAAATACATATGTGCATTCACAAATGTCGTTGCATCATGCAAATGCATTTACATTAGATTTATATAAATGTTTCATCTTTAATATTTGAAATTTTAATATTTAAAATAATATTTAAATATTTTTAATACTTAAAATATTTACAGCTTTTGAATACTGAATATCTAAATGAGAGTTTTCTTTTTAGGTTGAATATCTTCTTAAATGGAAGGGTTATCCAGATACGCAGAATACATGGGAGCCTGAAAAAAATGTCAACTGTAAAGATTTAATATTAAAATTTGAAAAGAAGGTACACGAGAGTAGTTTTATGTACATAATTATTGTTAGTTTAAAGTTGTATTAATTTTATATTTAGGATATTTCTGAATATGGTAATGGCAAACCGGCAAGAAATATCAAAATGAACTTTTCTGGTTGTTCATCAAATTCAAGTGGCGTTAAACGTAGTGAAGAGAGTAAGTATTAAATTTTTTTAAAATTATAGCTCCCATTCTTAATTCTTAAATTATTTAAAGCTGCAGATTTGGAGTACAAAAATAAATCTGATAATTCCCTCTGGGATGAGCTACAAATGATGAATCATATGTATCCAGTAAATCCCTTTGAAAATGGAGCAGTTGCTGAAAGAATTATAGCTGCTTCAGACACAACTGGAGTTTTATCCTTCATTATTAAATTTAAGAATATTGAACATCCACTATTAGTTCCTGCATACATAGCGAATACAAATATTCCACAAATGGTCATACAGTTCTACGAGAAACGTGTATCATGGAATTCCATGAGTGATGAATAATAAACTACCATACATTATAAACTATAAAGTACGATTGTTGCTTTTCTGTCGTCAATGCTACGCAACAGCAAACAATTTTATTTTGTTTACATTTTTGAAAATGCATCATGAATATTTTTTTTCTATTTTTTTTTATTGTATTTTGTTATTTCGTTTTTCTATTTATTTTTATTTTATTTAATTTTTTCTTATTTTTATTCAACTTTTATTATTTATTTACTTATTTTATATTACTTTCATTTATTACTTATTTTTTTTTTACTTTCTTTTTTATATGATATTTTTTTACTTATTTCTATATTATTTTATTTTTTTTTTTAAACAAATTAAGTTATTATAAAAAAATTGACTTACACAATAATACATGGCTTTAAATGGCTTGATTCTCAAACAAAAATTTTGTTACTTGTAAATATTGTTTTTGTATAACATATTTGCATTAGTTTTTAAGGTTTTAGATTATTTAAAAAAATGGCTATAAGAAAAGTATTACTAACTAGTGATACTTATATTGTTTAAAATCTAAGATTGTTTACTATTTAAGATTATGTAAATTTCTTTTGTTAACTACATAAATACTATAAAATAAATTTACTAAAAAAAAATACAATATTTGTAATGTTTTATATGAATGTTATTTAATAATTTAAATTGAAAATAATCAGTCCATCAGTATATTAATTGTATATGAATGAGGTTCAAATTAAACTACCTACACCATTTTCCTTTAATGATTGATACAATATTTAACCGCGTTCATCCAATTTTAAGTTTTTTAATGTTGGATATAAGCGCTTTAAAAACCAATCAATTATTTTGTAACTAATTTACGCTATTTCGTAGAATTTTTTTGTTCTTTAAACTCACACAAAAAAAACAATAAACATAAAATAATGATTATGTTGATGATTCTACTCATGATAGTTTTTGCAAGCCATCACATTTTAAAAATGACTGTATCTCCATTTGAAGATGCATGTAGTTTTTATAATAAACTATATTTATATTCATTGAATTAAGTACCTCAGGAAAATTACAAAAGACATTCAGTTGCTCTTTCAGCTCAGGAAACACAACAATTCTAATTGACTATTAAAAACAAGGACGAAATTAAGGATGCTTTAGATGTTTTTTGGACAGCGCTCTTTTGACATACTTGGCTTGCATTGTCGTAGTTGTTTAAATAAAAGTATTGGCAATTCAGAGCAGTGTTCAGTGTTCAGCATACGTTGCGCAGCGACATTAAATTAGCGAAATTAATGGTTTAAAATTTTGTATATAGTTAATAAATAATAAATAACATTTCCATTATAGTGGTGACCCCGACGTGATTCTAATTTAAGGGTTATTTGAACACATTTAAAAATCGTTTTAACGACTGGTCTCATCCAAAAAAAGCTTTTTTCAGAGCTGTAGTAAAGAGATAAGACTAAGACTACGTGTTCCTGCACCGTACTTAAACAACATATTTTTACCAGCTGCCAACGAAGCCGCAGCGGGGCAGCGAGAGAGCGAGTTACCAAAAGGCAATCGTAGCGATGTTATGAAATTCAACACCGTCGTTGCAGCGATCGAGTCCACCGTCGTTGCCGATGTAGCTGATGCGGTTTTACACCCTCCGACAACACGTAAATACATTAACTTTAAGAACCAGATTATAGAGCAGTATAGCGAAAGCGAACAACGAAAGATACAGCGGCTACTCTCAGAAATCGAGCTAGGAAATCGCCGACCAACGCAACTACTGAATGAGCTGACAGCTTTATCGAAAGATAAAGTTAGTTACGAGTTCCTGAAGTCTCTCTGCGTTCAGACAGAGCAGCGAGAAGACATCGCCACGACGTGTTAGGCAGCTAGAATTCATAAGCCAGTTCTCTACTGATATTCGCCATATTGCTGGTGCAGACAATTGCGTGGCCAATACACAATTTAGCACACCCAGGCGTAAGGACGACACGCAAACTGATTCAAGCAGGTTTCGTCTGGCCAGGTTTAGCAACAGATGTAGCTAAGTTTGTAAAGAACTGCATTTCATGCCAATTATCTAAAGTCCATCGTCACACGAAGTCACCTATAGGTAGTTTCGCAGGTGTAGACGAACGGTTCCAGCATGTACACATAGACATCATCGGACCACTACCACTGTCGCAGGGTAAACGATACTGTTTGACTCGAAGGTTGGGTAGCGCATTTTGGTGTGCCTCACACCATCACCTCGGACTTAGGACGTCAGTTCGAGTCAACAATCTTCTGTGAACTATCCAGTCTACTGGGCATCAAACGCATCTACACCACAGCATACCACCCCCAAGCGAATGGAATGGTGGAACGTATGCATAGGACGTTAAAAGAAGCTTTCCGTTGCTACAACAGTAACAACTGGACGTGTGCACTCCCATTGGTACTGCTGGGGTTGAGGACAACCCCAAAGGAAGATCTTGGTGTAAGTTCTGCTGAAATGCTATACGGAAATCCTCTACGTGTACCAGGACAACTACCATATTAACACAAAAACGCCAAAAACCAGGTGAAACCGATTTTGTTTCAACACTACGTAAAACATTGGTTCAGCTAAAGACAATCAACGGCAGCAGGAATAAAAAAATTCTGTATATAGTTAATAAATAATAAATAACATTTCCCTTAAAATATAATAGAATGAAGGATCAGTTTACTATCCAGTTTAAAGTTGATAGGTTTATGGATGTAGTTTAAGAAGACCAATACCAGAACAATTACAATATAAATAAGAATTTAAGATCCACTATAAAGCAATATAAAAAAGTTTCCTGTTTGATGGTTTAATAAATTTAATGAATTTCTATTGCAGTTTAATTTCGAAACTAAACGAAATCAAGTAATATTTGAAAATTGCGCGGTTTGGTTTTTTCGAATTGCCGTGACGTCATCAGTTATCAGTCACCACATTTTTTCAATGGATAGATTTAAATCTCTACTGTCAACAATTATAGTAGTTAAAAGAAGATACATACAAGTTCATAAAAGTTTTAATTATTTATAAAAAAAATAATTGCTTTTCATTTGCTGATCTTAATTATGCAAAACAGGACGCATAGAAAGATATGCTCACCTACAGTCCGTCATCAGTTAAAAGATAAATATATGATAATAATTCGAGTATAGATAAAACTTAGTGTGGGGCAGTGATAAGCCCCCCAGCCACAAAAGAGTAAAAGTGCGCAATAGCACTAACTCAAATCACAACAACAACAACACTAACAACAACAAATGCAAGTTGAGAAATTATATAAAAGTTAAGAAGAGTAGGGTCACAATGAAAGTACGTCCAGAAAAAGAAGCTTATTTAAGTTTTTGCAAGGATTTAAAAAAATACGGTAAGATTGCATTCTGGTGAAGCAACATTTTTAGTTAGAAGATTACTCGCATTTTATAGTGTAAAACTGTCATATAACGTTTATCGCTTTTTTTAAGTATATTTTTTATCATTAAAAATGTTGTTATATTATTATGCAGATTAATATAATATTTATAAACAACTTACAGATCCGATAAAAGGATGTATTCCACTGTAAATTATAATACCGCAGGTGCTGATTAGAGTATGGACCACGTTATTTTAGAGGTGGCTTTCTTGACTTATAGATTATAATGATCTCCCTGTCACCTTCCGATTGTATGGATTTATTTTTTCTGAAATACGTTAATCCTTCTGTTACTAATTACAAAAGGAAGAAAAAAAATTTTATGTACTGCAGAATATTATAAGTAATATTTAATATTTCTATTTAATTATAAATTATATGGCTGTCAATATTTTTGACGTTTAAAATATGCTTTGCATATATGTTTTTATGTATTTTTGAAAAATATATTAGGTCTGTTCCACGAGCTACTCAAAGTAAAACATGAGTAAAACAGAAGTAAAATTTATACAAAAATACTTGAAAATTTGCTGGTGGAACGCGCTTGTGTATACACAGTGTTTACTCAAAGTTACTATGAGTAGCTCGTGGAACAGACCTATTATATGGTAATTTTTTCCATATTTATGTGCTGACTTGTTAAATAAAAGATAAATTTTCCTTGTAATGCTTACCGATATTTTAAGTGTTTTGAAGTATGCCGTTAAGGTTTTAGAACTCCGCAACAATTTAGGATCTGAAAAAAAAAATGTTAATTAGTTCAAAATTGGAATCAAATACAGAATTTGGATTTATGTTTTATCCAATAATTTAATTATTTATGTTGCAGCAAAAATGCGTATAGTATAGAATATACAGAAGATTAAAATTATTATTTAAATGTATTCAATTGAAAAAAAAATTATTTTAAGCCAAATTAAAGTACCTTGTCAAATTGTTGAGTCCTATCTTTTTTAACAATCAGTAATTGAGCGAAATAAAATGATTAATTTCTATACTGTTTAATAGAATTAATCAAGCAATACAGCGGTAACAAATTTAAATTATTAAAAATTATTTAACATCGAAAATTTATAATCTTCAATTAACGTGATTTGAAAGTTTCTGTACCAATAAAATGATATTAACTATAGAACAAAATTATTTTTTATTTGAAATATTTGTTTAAAAAACATGGTTACTAGTTTTAAATATTTTTTAATATTTGAAAAAATATTTTATTATGTATAATTATAAAAAAGATTTTGTAAAAAATCAATCCATTATATCGAAGACTTGCGACGAATACCCATGAATTTATGTTTATCTTACTTTTTCTGCATTTTAGTGCTTTATTTAGGTTTTGTGTTATACAAAAAATATAAATGCATTTAAAGCAGGTTTGACAGCAACGTACGTTCAATCGTACAAGGTGTATGTTTCACTTGTTTATGAATTTTGTGACACCACAAAATTCAAATAATTTTGAAATGTCTAATTTGGCTGTTTTCTTTAATACATAATACTCAGAATTGTTGATTTTTGGAATTGTTTGGACACTTTAATGAAATCACTTCGTGAATGAGTTATTTTAGTGCTTTTATATCTTTTTTTACCAAAGTTTTTATTGCGTCTTTGACATCAAAACAATTGAGTGAACTTCGTATTATAAAAATTGGTTGCTAAACGTACTGATTCCAAAAATAATAAAATATGAACTCTAAACAAAACAAAACCAAAGCTGGTAAAGCACGTACTATTTCGGATTCGTCTGATGAGGAGTATGTTGTAGAAAAAATTTGCGACCGGCGTGAACGCAAGGGTAAGGTAAGAAAAAATTGTTTTGAACTTATTCTTACTATGAATTTACCAACATAAATTAATTCTTAATTTGTTCTGCTTAATATGGCGTTTACATTGGCCGAAAATGGCTCATTTAGAATGAAAAGAAAATGCAACCACCAAACATTTGTTTACCTTTTTTTGTAAATATGTTAAAAACAGCTTTTTCAAACTGTCAAAATGCCATGAAGAGCTTTCATTTAGGGTATGTTCAATGGATTCCTTTGCATTTGGAACGTATGTGGAATGCATTCGAACGTCATTCATACAGAATGTGAGAAAATTGCTCATTTTTGTGCTTGAAATTTTATATGCAAGAATGAGCCATTCGATACTCATTTTCGATTTTTGACCAAAATGAGCCATTTGAAAGTGTTTACATTCGTTCTATTTCATTTGTTCTCATTTCAACAGCTGATTTTTCAACTTGCATGTTGATTTGATTTTTGGCCTGTGCCAAAAAAATTTTGCATGAAGGTTAAATATGCCTTCAAACCTTACATTAGAAACTTAAAACATATTTTTAACTTCGATTAATTACTTTTTGGGAAGTAAAAGTTCTAAAAAGCAGTGCATCGTTTTCAAGAAAATGCAACCACCAAACATTTGTTTACCTTTTTTTGTAAATATGTTAAAAACAGCTTTTTCAAACTGTCAAAATGCCATGAAGAGCTTTCATTTAGGGTATGTTCAATGGATTCCTTTGCATTTGGAACGTATGTGGAATGCATTCGAACGTCATACAGAATGTGAGAAAATTGCTCATTTTTGTGCTTGAAATTTTATATGCAAGAATGAGCCATTCGATACTCATTTTCGATTTTTGACCAAAATGAGCCATTTTCGGCCAATGTAAACGCCGTATAAGACTCATTATTAGCACGTTGACTTCATCGATAAACGTAACAAATATGATATTTAACTTATCATTTCAGAGTCGAGTATAATCCCATAGTATGTTGGTTTCATCAGTTGTTGTATCTAAATCCGTTTCAAACGACTTGAGCCAAGAAAAATAGCAATCTACTGTGAACATAGCTTTGTATAATTATAAAATACATTCTCAAAGATAGGTTAGTTTATAGTGAAAAAATATGGACATTATTGGAGTCATTCGCATCATATATGAAAAATTATGGTATATTATTTACATTTATCAAATGTAATGATGTCTTCTCTATTGCCCTATAGATATAGATATAGATAAGTATGTGAAATCCTAAAATATATATGTGCATTCACAAAGGTCGTTGCATCATGCAAATGCATTTACATTAGATTTATATAAATATTTCATCTTTAATATTTAATATTTGAAATTTTCATATTTGAAATAATATTAAAATATTTTTAATATATAAAATATTTACAGGTTTTGAATACTGAATATCTAAATGAGAGTTTTCTTTTTAGGTTGAATATCTTCTTAAATGGAAGGGTTATCCAGATACGCAGAATACATGGGAGCCTGAAAAAAATGTCAACTGTAAAGATTTAATATTAAAATTTGAAAAGAAGGTACATGAGTTTTATGTACATAATTATTATTAGTTTAAAGTTGTATTCATTTTATATTTAGGATATTTCTGAATATGGTAATGGCAAACCGGCAAGAAATATCAAAATGAACTTTTCTGGTTGTTCATCAAATTCAAGTGGCGTTAAACGTAGTGAAGAGAGTAAGTATTAAATTTTTTTAAAATTATAGCTCCCATTCTTAATTCTTAAATTATTTAAAGCTGCAGATTTGGAGTACAAAAATAAATCTGATAATTCCCTCTGGGATGAGCTACAAATGATGAATCATATGTATCCAGTAAATCCCTTTGAAAATGGAGCAGTTGCTGAAAGAATTATAGCTGCTTCAGACACAACTGGAGTTTTATCCTTCATTATTAAATTTAAGAATATTGAACATCCACTATTAGTTCCTGCATACATAGCGAATACAAATATTCCACAAATGGTCATACAATTCTATGAGAAACGTGTATCATGGAATTCTATGAGTGATGAATAATAAACTACATTATAAACTATAAAGTACGATTGTTGCTTTTCTGTCGTCAATGCTACGCAACAGCAAACAATTTTATTTTGTTTACATCTTTGAAAATGCATCATGAATAATTTTTTTCTATTTTTTTTATTGTATTTTGTTATTTCGTTTTTCTATTTATTTGTATTTTATTTAATTTTTTCTTATTTTTATTCGACTTTTATTATTTATTTACTTATTTTATATTACTTTGTATATTACTTTGTATATTACTTTTATATTACTTTCTTTTATTACTTATTTTTTTTTTACTTTCTTCTTTATATTATATTTTTTTACTTATTTCTATATTATTTTTTTTTACATTTTTTTTTAAAACAAATTAATTTAGTATAAAAAAAATTGACTTACACAATAATACATGGCTTTAAATGGCTTGATTCTCAAACAAAAATTTTGTTACTTGTAAATATTGTTTTTGTATAACATATTTGCATTAGTTTTTAAGGTTTTAGATTATTTAAAAAAATGGCTATAAGAAAAGTATTACTAACTAGTGATACTTATATTGTTTAAAATCTAAGATTGTTTACTATTTAAGATTATGTAAATTTCTTTTGTTAACTACATAAATACTATAAAATAAATTTACTAAAAAAAGGACAATATTTGTAATGTTTTATATGAATGTAATTTAATAATTTAAATTGAAAATAATCAGTCCATCAGTATATTAATTGTATATGAATGAGGTTGAAATTAAACTACCTACACCATTTTCCTTTAATGATTGATACAATATTTAACTGCGTTCATCCAATTTTAAGTTTTTTAATGTTGGATATAAGCGCTTTAAAAACCAATCAATTATTTTATAACTAATTTACACTATTTTTTTGTTCTTTAAACTCACACAAAAAAAACAATAAACATAAAATAATGATTATGTTGATGATTCTACTCATGATAGTTTTTGCAAGCCATCACATTTTAAAAATGACTGTATCTCCATTTGAAGATGCATGTAGTTTTTATAATAAACTAAATTTATATTCATTGAATTAAGTACCTCAGGAAAATTACAAAAGACATTCAGTTGCCCTTCCAGCTTAGGAAACAACAATTCTAATTGATTATTAAAAACAAGGACGAAATTTAGGACGCTTTAGATGTTTTTTGGACAGCGCTCTTTTGACATACTTGGCTTGCATTTTCGTAGTTGTTTAAATAAAAGTATTGGCAATTCAGAGCAGTGTTCAGTGTTCAGCATACGTTGCACATCAACATTAAATTAGCGAAATTAATGATTTAAAATTTTGTATATAGTTAATAAATAATAAATAACATTTCCATTAAAGTGGTGACCCCGACGTGATCCTAATTTAAGGGTCATTTGAACACATTTAAAAATCGTTTTAACGAGTGGTCTCATGCAAAAAAAAGCTTTTTTCAGAGCTGTAGTAAAGAGATAAGACTAAGACTACGTGTTCCTGCACCGTACTTAAACAACATGTTTTTACCAGCTGCCAACGAAGCCGCAGCGGGGCAGCGAGAAAGCAAGTTACCAAAAGGCAATCGTAGCGATGTTATAAAATTCAACACCGTCGTTGCAGCGATCGAGTCCAGCGTCGTTGCCGATGTAGCTGATGCGATTTTACACCCTCCGACAACAGGTAAATACATTAACTTTAAGAACCAGATTATAGAGCGGTATAGCGAAAGCGAACAACGAAAGATACAGCGGCTACTCTCAGAAATCGAGCTAGGAGATCGCCGACCAACGCAACTACTGAATGAGCTGACAGTTTTATCGAAAGATAAAGTTAGTAACGAGTTCCTGAAGTCTCTCTGCGTTCAGACAGAGCAGCGAGAAGACATCGAAACGACGTGTTAGGCAGCTAGAATTCATAAGCCAGTTCTCTAGTGATATTCGCCATATTGCTGGTGCAGACAATTGCGTGGCCAATACACAATTTAGCACACCCAGGCGTAAGGGCGACACGCAAACTGATTCAAGCAGGTTTCGTCTGGCCAGGTTTAGCAACAGACGTAGCTAAGTTTGTAAAGAACTGCATTTCATGCCAATTATCTAAAGTCCATCGAAGTCACCTATAGGTAGTTTCGCAGGTGTAGACAAACGGTTCCAGCATGTACACATAGACATCATCGGACCACTACCACTGTCGCAGGGTAAACGATATTGTTTGACTCGAAGGTTGGGTAGCGCATTTTGGTGTGCCTCACACCATCACCTCGGACTTAGGACGTCAGTTCGAGTCAACAATCTTCTGCGAACTATCCAGTCTACTGGGCATCAAACGCATCTACACGACAGCATACCACCCTCAAGCGAATGGAATGGTGGAACGTATGCATAGGACGTTAAAAGCAGCTTTCCGTTGCTACAACAGTAACAACTGGACGTGTGCACTCCCATTGGTACTGCTGGGGTTGAGGACAACCCCAAAGGAAGATCTTGGTGTAAGTTCTGCTGAAATGCTATACGGAAATCCTCTACGTGTACCAGGACAACTACCATATTAACACAAAAACGCCAAAAACCAGGTGAAACCGATTTTGTTTCAACACTACGTAAAACATTGGTTCAGCTAAAGACAATCAACGGCAGCAGGAATAAAAAAATTCTGTATATAGTTAATAAATAATAAATAACATTTCCCTTAAAATATAATAGAATGAAGGATCAGTTTACTATCCAGTTTAAAGTTGATAGGTTTATGGATGTAGTTTAAGAAGACCAATACCAGAACAATTACAATATAAATAAGAATTTAAGATCCACTATAAAGCAATATAAAAAAGTTTCCTGTTTGATGGTTTAATAAATTTAATGAATTTCTATTGCAGTTTAATTTCGAAACTAAACGAAATCAAGTAATATTTGAAAATTGCGCGGTTTGGTTTTTTCGAATTGCCGTGACGTCATCAGTTATCAGTCACCACATTTTTTCAATGGATAGATTTAAATCTCTACTGTCAACAATTATAGTAGTTAAAAGAAGATACATACAAGTTCATAAAAGTTTTAATTATTTATAAAAAAAATAATTGCTTTTCATTTGCTGATTTTAATTATGCAAAACAGGACGCAAAGGAAGATATGCTCACCTACAGTCCGTCATCAGTTAAAAGATAAATAAATGATAATAATTCCAGTATAATAATAGTTAAAACTTAGTGTGGGGCAGTGACAAGCCCCCCAGCCACAAAAGAGTAAAAGTGCGCAATAGCACTAACTCAAATCACAACAACAACAACACTAACAACAACAAATGCAAATTGAGAAATTATATAAAAGTTAAGAGGAGTAGGGTCACAATGAAAGTACGTCCAGAAAAAGAAGCTTATTTAAGTTTTTGCAAAGATTTAAAAAAATACGGTAAGATTTCATTCTGGTGAAACCACACTTTTAGTTAGAAGATTACTCGCATTTTATAGTGTAAAACTGTCATATAACGTTTATCGCTTTTTTAAGTATATTTTTTTATCACTAAAAATGTTGTTATATTATTATGCAGATTAATATAATATTTATAAACAACTTACAGATCCGATAAAAGGATGTATTCCAATGTAAATTATAATACCGCTGATTAGAGTATGGACCCCGTTATTTTAGAGGTGGCTTTCTTGACTTATAAATTATAATGATCTCCCGGTCACCTTCCGATTGTATGGATTTATTTTTTCTGAAATACGTTAATCCTTCTGTTACTAATTACAAAAGGAAGAAAAAAAATTTTATGTACTGCAGAATATTATAAGTAATATTTAATATTTCTATTTAATTATAAATTATATGGCTGTCAATATTTTTGACGTTAGAAATATGCTTTGCATATATGTTTTTATGTATTTTTGAAAAATTTATTATATGGTAGTTTTTTCCATATTTATGTGCTGACTTCTTAAATAAAAGATAAATTTTCCTTGTAATGCTTACCGATATTTTAAGTGTTTTGAAGTATGCTGTTAAGGTTTTAAAACTCCACAACAATTTAGGATCTGAAAAAAAAAAATGTTAATTAGTTCAAAATTGGAATCAAATACAGAATTTGGATTTATGTTTTATCCAATAATTTAATTATTTATGTTGCAGCAAAAATGCGTATAGTATAGAATATACAGAAGATTAAAATTATTATTTAAATGTATTCAATAGAAAAAAAAATTATTTTAAGCCAAATTAAAGTACCTTGTCAAATTGTTGAGTCCTATCTTTTTTAACAATCAGTAATTGAGCGAAATAAAATGATTAATTTCTATACTGTTTAATAGAATTAATCAAGCAATACAGCGGTAACAAATTTAAATTATTAAAAATTATTTAACATCGAAAATTTACAATCTTCAATTAACGTGATTTGAAAGTTTCTGTACCAATAAAATGATATTAACTATAGAACAAAATTATTTTTTATTTGAAATATTAGTTTAAAAAACATGGTTACTAGTTTTAAATATTTTTTAATATTTGAAAAAATATTTTATTATGTATAATTATAAAAAAGATTTTGTAAAAAATCAATCCATTATATCGAAGACTTGCGACGAATACCCATGAATTTATGTTTATCTTACTTTTTCTGCATTTTAGTGCTTTATTTAGGTTTTGTGTTATACAAAAAATATAAATGCATTTAAAGCAGGTTTGACAGCAACGTACGTTCAATCGTACAAGGTGTATGTTTCACTTGTTTATGAATTTTGTGACACCACAAAATTCAAATAATTTTGAAATGTCTAATTTGGCTGTTTTCTTTAATACATAATACTCAGAATTGTTGATTTTTGGAATTGTTTGGACACTTTAATGAAATCACTTCGTGAATGAGTTATTTTAGTGCTTTTATATCTTTTTTTACCAAAGTTTTTATTGCGTCTTTGACATCAAAACAATTGAGTGAACTTCGTATTATAAAAATTGGTTGCTAAACGTACTGATTCCAAAAATAATAAAATATGAACTCTAAACAAAACAAAACCAAAGCTGGTAAAGCACGTACTATTTCGGATTCGTCTGATGAGGAGTATGTTGTAGAAAAAATTTGCGACCGGCGTGAACGCAAGGGTAAGGTAAGAAAAAATTGTTTTGAACTTATTCTTACTATGAATTTACCAACATAAATTAATTCTTAATTTGTTCTGCTTAATATGGCGTTTACATTGGCCGAAAATGGCTCATTTAGAATGAAAAGAAAATGCAACCACCAAACATTTGTTTACCTTTTTTTGTAAATATGTTAAAAACAGCTTTTTCAAACTGTCAAAATGCCATGAAGAGCTTTCATTTAGGGTATGTTCAATGGATTCCTTTGCATTTGGAACGTATGTGGAATGCATTCGAACGTCATTCATACAGAATGTGAGAAAATTGCTCGTTTTTGTGCTTGAAATTTTATATGCAAGAATGAGCCATTCGATACTCATTTTCGATTTTTGACCAAAATGAGCCATTTTCGGCCAATGTAAACGCCGTATAACTTTCAATTATATATTAAAGCAGTATACGGACTAGACCAGTGCCCTATAAAAAAATTCGGCATGGAAAATATATTCAGTATAAGACTCATATTAGCACGTTGACTTCATCGATAAACGTAACAAATATGATATTTAACTTATCATTTCAGAGTCGAGTATAATCCCATAGTATGTTGGTTTCATCAGTTGTTATATCTAAATCCGTTTCAAACGACTTGAACCAAGAAAAATAGCAATCTACTGTGAACATAGCTTTGTATAATTATAAAATACATTCTCAAAGATAGGTTAGTTTATAGTGAAAAAATATGGACATTATTGGAGTCATTCGCATCATATATGAAAAATTATGGTATATTATTTACATTTATCAAATGTAATGATGTCTTCTCTATTGCCCTATAGATATAGATATAGATAAGTATGTGAAATCCTAAAATATATATGTGCATTCACAAATGTCGTTGCATCATGCAAATGCATTTACATTAGATTTATATAAATATTTCATCTTTAATATTTAATATTTGAAATTTTCATATTTGAAATAATATTAAAATATTTTTAATATATAAAATATTTACAGCTTTTGAATACTGAATATCTAAATGAGAGTTTTCTTTTTAGGTTGAATATCTTCTTAAATGGAAGGGTTATCCAGATACGCAGAATACATGGGAGCCTGAAAAAAATGTCAACTGTAAAGATTTAACATTAAAATTTGAAAAGAAGGTAGATGAGTTTTATGTACATAATTATTGTTAGTTTAAAGTTGTATTCATTTTATATTTAGGATATTTCTGAATATGGTAATGGCAAACCGGCAAGAAATATCAAACTGAACTTTTCTGGTTGTTCATCAAATTCAAGTGGCGTTTAACGTATTGAAGAGAGTAAGTATTAAATTTTTTTAAAATTATAGCTCCCATTCTTAATTCTTAAATTATTTAAAGCTGCAGATTTGGAGTACAAAAATAAATCTGATGATTCCCTCTGGGATGAGCTACAAATGATGAATCATATGTATCCAGTAAATCCCTTTGAAAATGGAGCAGTTGCTGAAAGAATTATAGCTGCTTCAGACACAACTGGAGTTTTATCCTTCATTATTAAATTTAAGAATATTGAACATCCACTATTAGTTCCTGCATACATAGCGAATACAAATATTCCACAAATGGTCATACAATTCTATGAGAAACGTGTATCATGGAGTTCTATGAGTGATGAATAATAAACTACATTATAAACTATAAAGTACGATTGTTGCTTTTCTGTCGTCAATGCTACGCAACAGCAAACAAATTTATTTAGTTTACATTTTTGAAAATGCATCATGAATAATTTCTTTCTATTTTTTTTTATTGTATTTTGTTATTTCGTTTTTCTATTTATTTTTTCTATTTATTTTTATTTTATTTAATTTTTTCTTATTTTTATTCGACTTTTATTATTTATTTACTTATTTTATATTACTTATTTTTTTTTTTACTGTTTTTTTTATATTATATTTTTTAACTTATTTCTATATTATTTTATTTTTTTTTTAAACAAATTAAGTTATTATAAAAGTCTTATTTTTGTGATTTTACTAAAATTTTTTTTAATGGTTTTATTCATTTTTCTTAAATTTTTAAATGTGTTTTGAAGACCGTTCGTGGTGGTGAAAAGTTCCGTTCGACGTGGTGGAACTTTTCACTCGTGGTGGGTGGTGGTACAACAACAAAACAACATGCTTGGTCTGGCAGTAGTAAATTATTTTGAGAGTGTGTTAGTTGGTTTCTTTTGCTTACATTTAAGTTGCCCTTCCTGTGCAAGTATTCTTTGCTCGAAATTTTGTATATACTTTTAAAAACCATTTACAATAGATTAAATTTTGGTCATGGCAACCATGCGATTTGCGCTGCTTACTAATTAAGCGATTTCAAAAAAGTTGGACTAAATAAGCCAGTAGCGTATGGATTTTTAAAATAAGTAGTTGTTATACTTACAAAAGAAAAGATCTACTGTCAAAATTTTGTAGATAATTTTTTCCCATTAATGTTTTATATAAGCAAATTATTACTAAACTACGTAAAATATGATAGCATCGGTATTATAAATTTTGATTTGCTCAAATAAAACAATATGATTAAAAACAATATAAAAGGCGCTCAGTGCATGTGCGAAAAATGTTATAATTAGTTGTATTAAATACGAGAAAAATTTCGGTTTATTTGCCGAAAAAAATTTGTTTTTTTCAAAAAGCCACTGATTTATCAAACCGCCCTCGTATCTGTAACTTACTTATAAACTTATATATTTTAAGCAAAAAAAAAATAAAGCACCAAATAAATATTTTGACAATATATGTTCCATAAGCAATAAAAACTAACTTATTTCACTTACCTGGATATTCAGTAAAATTTATGGCAACACACTTAACATTTAAAAGAATAAATATTTTTTAGCTCTCAAATGTAAACTTGGTGTAGAATTTTAAATAAGATATGGTTGGCAACTGTCAAATTATTATATGACAACTCAATTGAATAACAATGATATATAATTCCAATGTTTAATAGGTTTTACTTACCTTAAAATTCTATAAAATTTATAAAAACCCAATTGACTTTTAATAAATTATTTATTTTTTAGGTCTTGAATGTAAACTTGGTGTTCAATAATAATCACTTCAACCTCAAAAATAGAAAATTACTATATACTCAAATAAGGACCCACAGGAAGATATGCTGACCCACGATCCGTCATCAATGAAAAGATAGATAAACGATATGAATTCCAATATAGTTAAAGCTTAATATGGGGCAGAGATATACCCCCTAGTCACCAAAGAGTTGAAGTGCGCAATAGCAATAACTCAAGAAACTACAACAACAATAACAATTTTAAATAAATTATGTTTGAAAATTGTCAAATTATTATATGACAACTTAATTTAAAACACAATATTTACAATAAAAAATTTTAAATATTTTTATTCAAATGTAAATTCTATTGTTAACCATACCACTTTTTCAACAACCATTTGGAATGAATTCTTATAAGTAAATTGTTAATTAAGAAGTGTAGAACCACTTTATAGGATGATAGTCTGTTGTAAGCATGTTGAAAAAAGAAACATACAAAACTGGGGCTTGTTTTAAATTAACTTTTGTTGACATATGCTATCAAATGCCTTGTTTTGATGCATGAGAAGCTTTTTAAGCAACACTAAATATTTGCAAAAATTAAGTGTTTGGTTAATCAACTGTACAAATTGAAATACGAAAACAATTAAATATTATTATATTTTTTTAAAAATAATAATAAAAATTATAAACAGAAACTTAACTTAAAGTGAAAATTTTGGAAAAAAAATCAAAATGAAAGTTCAAAACGAAACTATAAGGGGTATGGTATTATTGCAGTCACGCCACGGTAATTGTTGTTGCTTTCAATGCAAAATTAAAATTTGACATTGGCAGCTCGCATCATTTTGCATTGATAGTAATATGGCGTTTATACTGGCCTCAAATGACTCATTTTTAATCAGTTATTCATTGTTTACATTCGTTGTTTTTCAATTGTTCTCATTTCAAACAGCTGATTTGTTAACGTGCCTGTTGATTCGATTTTTGACCTGAGAAAATAAATGTTGGATAAAGGTAGAATATACCTTTAAACCTTACAATATAAACTAAAAACATATTTTTAACTTTGATTAAATAATTTTTGGGAAATAAAAGTTCTAAAACAAGTGCATCGTTTTAAATGAAATGTATTTCATTTATTACCTTTATATATTTGATTACCTTTTTTTGTAAATATGTCAAAAACAGCTATCTCAAACTGTCAAAATGCCATGAAAAGCTTTTCTTTAGGGTATATTCAATGTATTCATTAACATTTGAAACTTATTTGAAACTCTTTGGAACTCATTGTACAAGTTAAGCAAATGGAACTCATTTATGCATATGAGATTTTGTATGCAGATATCAGAAATTTTGTTCTATTTTTGATTTTTGACCAAAATGAGCCTTTTTGACCAAAATGAGTCAATACCATATAGCAATAATTGTGTGACGTCACTGCAATCATAACATACCCCTAAGTTTTAAGACCGAGTTTGAAATGTACACTTAATGGCCGGTTAAATACTAAATTGACATATGCAGACTTACCTTTAATTTTGAATTGCAATAACTGCCTAATACAAGTACTTAAAGGGTCACTTACTTATCAGCTGACAAAAGAAAAAACTGTAGCTTTTGAAAATTTTATAAACAATGAAATGTTGATAGCAATAACATTAAAATACAAATTTATCTTAAATTTATATTTTAGATTTCCATATTTTCTTGCAATATTTATGCTTTTATGTAAGACTTAACAAAAATTCAAACATTTGTTATTTTATCAGTTCACCGAATATGGAGTTACCACATACCACCTCTAATGAAAATCATCAACAAGGTACATTAGCCCCTTGAACATCTAAATGCTAATAATAAACAAATTATTATTATAACTGACTATAACTTTTTATTTGCAATAGAAGTTTTTAGTCTTGGCAACCCTGTAATGTGAGCTGCTTAATTGTTTCAGTAACCTTAAAGCATTTTGAATTTATGTGCGTAAGCGCTATTAAAAATGATTTCAAAGCCTATTTTAAAATAAATTTTAGTACTTGCGTAAACATAGTAAAAAAATTTTAGTGTCCAACTGAAGCTGTTGTTAACGCTTAACATCATATTTAGAATTTTATATAACATCTCTGCTTAGTAATTATTTGACATGATAACCAGCTGATGCGTTTAAACAAATTTTCCTTCATTCGTTTCGTGCGATGCTGTACAAGAGGTTTATGTGGGATATATAAAATTGTAATTACGTTATATTTGTTATTCTATTAATATATAATTTTTTATTATCCTTTAATTTTTGTTAGGTGAGTTATTTTATCAAATGTGAAAGGATTATGTTAAAAGTAATGAAAAAATTGCAGGTAGCATTTACGTGTGTGTGGCAGTGACAAGCGAAAATATAAGAAACGTTTAAATGCAAAAGTCTTGTATCAGTATATAAAAATACATTGGTCAATCTATATCTTCTAGTGTAACTATGGATATTAAGAATGACGACTCTGTTGGCAGCGATATATTAGATAAGTCATTAGAATCAAAGTGCGTTGTCGATGAATTAGGTCAAAAAGAAGACGCGGGCGCTTCGCAGCAGTGCAATGGCATAGTCAGTTTTAAAAAAACAACAACAAGTGAATCACAGCCAGAAAAACGACAAGGTAGTTCTATAGCTGAACAAAAGACTGAAAAATCTGTTTCAGATTATAATGTTACCAAGACAGAAAATGTTGGTGGCGCCAATAAAAAATGTGATAGTGTCGAAAACAATACCGAAAACTCAGTTGATTGTGTGATTGTATCAAATGCACAACAATTAAAAATTGAAAATGAAACCACCGCAGTATGTGTAGATATATTAGAACAAAATGCATCTACATCAAAAGCAGCATATGCAGCGCGTTTTGCGAACAGTGGTATTGGCAATAATAGCGCCAGTTGTAGTAGCAGTAGCAGTAGTAGTAGCAATAACAGCAATAAAAGTAATGTCTTAGACACGAAAGTCATACAGATCTCCAAAAATCTTAAAGATACTACACTTGTTGAGACAGCTGCAGCAGCTGCTGCTATTGCATGTCAAAAACCGTTATTAGAATTCACACTTGAAACAACATCGTCTTCATCATCTGATTATGAGCCATACACGCCATCACGTTCCTCACCATATGAAATTGAACCAATCACTGATTTAGAAACCAGTATACTCAGCACAGTAGAATCGATAGAACCTGATTTGGAACAAGATAACGAACAGGATCCGGATGCTGATCAGGATCAAGACCCACGTTCAAAAAAAGTGCGATTTCATCCAGATGTAAAAGAAAATGATGGCGGAAATCGTATTATACCTAAAAAGAAGAAAAAAATGAAGCACATACCAAATTCAGATGAACCAAGTACAAGTGCTCAGTGCTTTCTCAGCGCGGATGAAGAAATGGATTTGGATGAAGAAGATGAGATAGACGAAGATGATGAATTTGATATAGAGAAAACAATAAGTGAGGCACAAGACTACCTTAAATTACATCCGCTTACGTTTGTTAGACCACAGGATAAAAGCACAGGGTGTATGAAAAAAGGTCTACTTGAAGAGGAGGATTTAGCGCTGCTTTCTGAATCATCAGATGAAGAAGAAGAATCCTACGAAAATGTGCCTGAAAATGGAGTTGAACGCATTTTAGGGAAACATATTAAAGGTGATCAGGTAAGAAAGACTAAAGCATAAAACATTCAAACCTACAAATTTATTATAAGTTTTAAATAAGTCTTTTTAGTTAAGTATTTGTACTGATGTTATTAGTTTTATTTATAGTAATAGTAAATTAGGATACTGTTCAAAAACGATGTACAGTAAACTCCAATTTTTCAATCACACATTGCAAAATAGATTTTCTTTTTGTATAATTTCAACAAACTGTTAATAGTTATTTACATTAATTACAGTTAAGTATTATTTACATTAATTATATATATTATATATACGAAATATATTATAAATATATAATGTATTATATATATTAAATATGTTTTATATATTAAATATATTATATATATTAAATATGTTTTATATATTATATATATTAAATATATTACATTTATTAAATATATTACATATATTAAATGTATTATATGTATTATATACATTAAATATATTATATATACATTATTTTACTTATTTTGCACATACCTATTACGTACATTTCTCAAAATACTGAATTTTATTTAAACCTACAAAATGTGTAATAGAAACATTAATTTCAAATAATGGATATTATATTTATTTTAAATTATATATATAATTATATATATAATTTATTTTGATTTTTTCGTTAAGTTTATATAAAAGCTTTAAATTACTAGTTTTATAATAATATTTTAAATATTAAAATATTTAATTTTAATTTCAGATTGAATATTTATTACGTTACGCAGACCTGCCTGGAGTCTATTGGGAAAGTGAAGAATTTATACTGGAACAGTGTCCGAATTTGCTCATGCTTTATGATCAAAATAGAGAACGGCGTCAAGCACGACTGGTAAGGAATGAAATATATACTCTATAATATCAATCGAAATCATATATCATAACCGTATATTTTTATAGATGCGTCATGTTGCGAAACGTCAGAATCTACGCCAACGCTACACAGACTTTTAAAATTTCATCAAAAAACTTATATATATATTATTTCGAAATAAATGTAAAAATGGCAATAAATAAGAGTATAAAAGGAAAAGTATATTGTATATTTATAAATGGAAAAGACAACTGCAACAGCAATATATATAATTGGCTCTTAGAAAAGAAATCTAAGCTTAATTTTTGTTATTAAATGACAAACAAAACAAACAAAAAAACTTTTACTTATGCGTGTAAATTGAATTCCTTATTTTTGTTATATTATTTTCTTTTCCATTTTTTAATTGTAATGCATTTAATAGTCGGTGAAAAAATTATAATAAAAAGTATATAAATAGACATTTTTATTTATTTTAAAATTAGCAATGAAAGAAATTCATGAAATTGTATAATATATGATGTATGAAAAAACTATTTTATGTGCATAAAACATTTTACTATTAAACTTTAAATTATGCACATAATGATTTAATTTAAACTTTATTGTAACTAAACAAAAAAATATAAAATTTAATAATAAATTTTTTAATTATAAATTTAATTTCGATTTTTATTCCGTATATTACAATTATAATAAAAAAAAATTCAAGTTTTATTTTTCTATACTTGAAAAATTTTTTCAATACCAGTAACATTTCTTTTGGATCGATTCGTAAATGTTACTAAATTTTAATATTTAATATATTACTTCGTAATAATTACCACAGTGTATAAAATATATATATCGAGTTTTTCAAGTATTGAACGATGTGATTTACAAATTGAAAAAATAAATAAAACTAATGATAATTTAAAAAATTTTGAACAAAATCCAGTTATAGTAAATTCTTAACGATTTGATTCTTACAATCAAGTATACTGATTAATATTAAAGTTTTTAATTGATTTTGAATAAATTGATAAAAGGGAATTACTAATTCACCATTTGTGAATTATCATATTTATAATTCATAAATGGTTGATATTAAATAAACATTATAGTTGTGTTACATATTAAAAATAATATTTTTCAGAATAAATCTTTGTCAGATTGCTTTGGAGTTTGGTGAGCATTATAAAAATTCTAAAAAGAAATTATATTTAACTTATTATTCTCTTATAGTAATTATTCAACATTATATCGTATTGGAATTTATGGGAAAATGAAATATATAATAACTTCATGTCTAAAAATTTAAGACTGGAAACCTAAAATCTTTTATAAAACCGCTGAAGCCGTAAACAAACTAATGTAACTATACATTCAACAATATATTATCAAAGTAATAATATAAGTTTATAATTATATTTATTATATCAACATTTTGATTTGAATTTAAACGTTTAATTTTGTATATGTGAGCTAAAGTTTAGTTTTTATTTTAATATAACTTCAGATATGTATTTTAATCATAATTTGTATTTAAGGTGCAGTCCAAATTAAACAGAATTTTTTTACAAATATATATTTGAAGTGAGACTATCTATTGGCAATTACATGTCTACCTCATCATTACTTTTATCCCATGTCATATAACTATTTCAACTCCACCCCTTAGTGCAATGTCTATGTACTTGCTTTCGGATCAACGTTTGGATGGCTACAATAACAACTTCCGTCTCTGAATTTATTAAAACTGGTCTTGGACGAGGCAAAGAAACTTGACCACTTCAACGAGTCAGTACTTGTTTTGTTTTTATTGATAAATTTTTTGTTTAATTTTTAACTTTCGATTACTTCCCGTATTCAGTCAGTTTGGCGCTAAATTGTTATTGCTGATTAGAAAAACACGTTTTTTGAACGCCATCTTGAAACCTTGTCACTTTGAACGCAACAACTACGTTTCTAACTACGTAAATATCATGGTTACTCTATACACAACTATTTGCATATTGTAGAATGATAAACTTTATATAGTGTTATGGGAATAATATACTAGTAATATTATTTATTAAACAAACAAGTCATTGCATTATATTTTAGAGTCTGATTTCAGTTGTTTTTCACAAGATTATTGTTAATTTTATTATTAATATTAGGATAATCTTGCTACTTTGGCAAAATATCTAGAGAGTTACAAATTAATTTCAAGTAAATAAAAATTACACCAAAAGTGAATCACAATTAAAAAGCTATTCCAGATTAAGCAATCGAAAACGGCATAAGTTTGCCTTTCAGCTGCTTCAACTAAAGCTATACCTAGTCAGCATAACGATATTGGTGCTGACAGGTCTCTGTGTGTAGGAATAAAATGTAATGAGACTTGATGTTCCTAATAACTTTTGTCATGTTGCGGACTTCCAGTGGATGAGATCTGACCTTATATATCAGTGTCCATACTTGTCCAGCAAAAGATTAGATATGTTTGCTCTCCTTTTCCTCACCTAATTGGCAAAGCGACTACCTTTCAAAGTTAAGGATAAAATCAAGTTTAAAAACTTTTACAGTTGGTTTAGGTTTACTTTAATGGAGAAGTTGTATTCGGTTTCTTCTGTCAGCGTTTAAATAATTCTTATAGACTTTCTATCAACGTGGTTTCATAGTTTTTATTACTTATTGCTCAATTATTTAACAGTTAATTTAAGTGTGATTGAATCATATAGAAGAAAGTGTTAAAATGTTTTATATAAATAAAATATTAAGACATGGTTATACAAAGTAAATCCATATATAATTTTTGTACTTTTATGGACTTAATCTATCAACAAATGAACGCCTATTGCTACTGTTTGACGATGTTGCTCCAAATTCACTAAAATATATATTCTAATAAGTATTCTCCTCCACATTACTTTGGGCCATGCGCGTTTTCGTCTGCCCTGTGGATTTCATTCCTGCATTGGCAGTGCAAATGTTACCGGAGTACCTATGTGTTTTAGCAATCCGTATTTATACGGATGTGATTTATTTTTTTTTTATTACTTGTATGCTTAGTTACATTATGTTTGTGTATCTTTCAAAACAACATGAGGACATCTTACTTACTTACTTATGTGGCCATAACAACCCGTTACCGAGTTTCGGCCTGACGCAGCATGTCTCCCCAGGCGCCTCTGCTGCGTGCGCGCCTTCTCCAGTCTCGTATATCAAGTCCAGTTAGTGCTCCCTCAACTTGATCACTCCACCGGAGACACGGTCTACCTCTACGTCTTCTTCCGCCAACTACTGCTTCAAACACCTTTTTCGCCGGAGCGTGAGGACATCATATAAATAATTATTTATACTTAGTTTTATAAGGTGAAATAATTTATATCTAGTCTTTTTCAGATCTTCTGGAAGAGATTTAACATATCGTGTTATTATTATTATTGTTAGGGGATGTGGCACTGCGACCATCGGGTCTATTGTGCCCCCTTCTGGGCTAAGAGTAGGTCTTTAAGGCTTGTTGCGTCAATTAAAAGTAGTATAGAACCTACTTTACAGAGTTTTATTGCCTCTTCCGTAAGAATACACATTCCTAGGAGCCTATAACGTATGTGCATTAGCGCAGGGAATTCTAACAGCACATGTGTGGCCGACTCCTCATTCTCTTTACAGAATCTAATATCGTGTTATATATAAAGTGTTAAGTAAAATTAAATATTGACACGGTGCTCTTATAGTAATAATAATTTGATGTAACACTTCAAAATTTAGGTTTAATAGAATAAATCATTGGTTTAAATTTAGATAGATGAATAGAAGTGTAATAGGTGTTTAAATTTATATTTTGTTTATAAGCTACTCTATTACTATGATTAAATTTATTGAAACTATTTCTTTCCAATATTCAAATACATTTATTTTCTGAGTAGTGCTATGAACCACCCAGAACAGAGAGACAAACATAGGGAACCTGAAAATGTACCAATATAGGATAAAATATCATAATGCCTAAGGACAAGGTGGATGTAAAAATATGACGGATTGAGGGATAGAGAGAGTGAAATTTAAAAAACAACTTAAGTTAATGTAGACAAATATCTTTACATAGATATAAACTATTAATGAATAAATAGTCGCAAGGACATTTAATTAAACATGGTAAGAATATATTAATAAAAAAAATAAAATAAATTTATTATTTTGGACTTTTTTGTTTATATGTATTAATTTTTTTTATTACAGCTGCTTTCAAAACTGGAGTCAAATTGAAATCTTTCTATTTTATCAATACATTAAATTATTACACTCATCAATAGGATAGAATCGATTAACTTGTAAGAAATCAATGTGATATAGCAATGCTATAGATCGTGAATTTCATTAGCCCACGAAAATCTGAAAGATTTATTATAAGCGATGCTGTCCAAAGATATTGGCGATAAACTACAGATTATCAGCTTATACCTGAAAGATATATATGCATACGTTCGCTACTCTAATTAATTATATTTAATGTTTTATGTACAAATGTATATATATTTTCTTTCTTTGTTTGATGAAATGCGAGTTAGTGTCTCTAACTCGATAGAGTCTGTGACTACTTAAATAACACATTGTAATGAAAGCTTTGTTGGATTCTGGTAGTGAGTCAAAATAAATTAATAGAAATATAGTTTGAAGTTCAGCATATTTTTCTGATGCAATTCTAGGTACATATATATATGTAGTTTCAATAGCCCACATTTTTTAAGAAATTGAGAAAGTTAAATAACATTCACATTATTTGCAAAATACTTTAAAATTAATTGAAATTATTTAGAAATTTGTGATTATTGAAAGGTGTATTTGAATAATATGTGCATATTAAACTTAATAATTACTTAAATATACAATTATAATATAATAAATATAAATTATATACAAATCAAATAAAAAAAGCTTTAGTAAAGTCACGAAATTATTCTATTACACTGACTCGTGAATGAATATATATTAAAGTATAAACTTAATGATGTTAGTGTTTAAATAATTATTACATATAGTTTTATTAACTAATTAATTAATTAATTGTAGAAATTTTATATTTTATTTATAAATTTATTTGCAAATTATTTAGGAACAAATTGTTTAATATTTTACTTATATATAGTTTCAATGAATTTATAATATAATTAAAATATTTAGTATTACATTTAATTTATAAAATGTTATTACATATCTTTAAGTAATTTAAACTAAATTAAGAGTTAAAAAAATCAATATTTTTTTAATAATTTATTTTTAAAAAAAATATAAAAATTGTATAATCATAATCTCAATAAACTTAATTAAATCTATCGGTTTTAAAACATATTTTACTAACATTAAGTAATTGCTTGTATTAAGTTTTGTTTTGATTATTGCGGCTGCTACTAATACAATTTAGAGTTTCAATATTTTGGCTTTTCTGGTTTTATACTAAGCGGTACATAACTATTGACATTATATACATAAACATTAATTTATTATACATCATTATACAATTATATACATAACTTAACACGCTTGGTAACCGAGTAATATAGTAATAGCGCGAAGCGCCAATAATATAATACATGTCAAATACAAGCGTTACTCTCGAGATCGTGTATACCTCTTATATATTTATTGAGCATTATTTAGTATAACTTCAATAACTTGTTTCATATAAATTAGTAATACATATTAAATTAAAAATTATTTCAAAAATTATTTTTTATTTAAAAAATTTTAATAATACACTAATTCTTGATAAGTTCAACTAAATAATTATTTTAAACAAAGTATGTAATTTTTTATGATTTTAAAATTATCTTAAAATATATTAATTAATTTTTGTATATATTATGATCAAAAATCTGTTTCAAATAAAAGTATAATGCGGATATTTATATATTAAAAAACATTTTATAAATTATTATTTTTTAATCTTCATCTTATAATCTATATAAAATTACAAATAGCAATTTTTTTCTGTACAATTATATACTATTCTTTACTATTTCTTGATTATAGTTATATTTAAAAAGTTTAATATACATTACAAAAATTAATTAATATAACAATTGTTAAAGTATTTTGTATATATTTTGTACTGAATTGTATCACATAAATTATTATATTTCCGTTTAAATATTTTTATAGTATATATTTAAAATGTTTCACAATGAAAATATTTTTTAAATACAAGAATTTATTTTTATTTAAGTAACTTTTATTTTCAATATCTTTTCTTCTTATCTTTACATGAGAATACAACTTATCTATAATAAATAACTTTGTCAAAACGATATGAGAGAAAATACAATATATGTGGGATACTTGATTCTAGTGGATCGTAGCAATACGACCACGGCTTACACTCCGTCCTTAGAATAAAAGCCAAAATATCAATTTTTAAGGAAATCCTAACATAATATTATTAGAACTTTAAACTATATATATATATATATATATAATTATAATATAATATATATATGAATTATATATACAAATTATTTGTGTACATGAATATAATTTATGTATAAAATTGTTAATATCTACTTCTGGAAATTTATGTATATTATAAATATGTATAAATAAAATAAATAATATTTTATAATTTTTATATTATTTATATAAGATAAATAAGATAAGATTTTAGTATATTAAAATTTGAATGTAATATATTTTTATATTAATGATCTATAACTTATAACTGTTTGATTTAAATTTAAATAAAATTTGCAAATTTGTTTTGGTTTTAAATGATTTATACACAATAAGTAGTTATTTTAAAATTAAATATTAATTCCTATAAGATAAGTAAATCTATTTTCGAATAGAGAAATGTTGTTTATAAGGCGGTTGTTTGGATTGTTTTCAAATAACTAATAAATTTTAGACTATCGGTATAAGCTTTCCCCTTTTTTAAAAAAGGTTTATGTAAATATGTAAAATAAGAGCTTGCAAATTAAGTTTTATTTCTATTTTTATTTGTATGTAGTTGTCTATATAAACATCGTAGACGTTTCGAAGTTCATTTGACCTATTTCTCAGTGTTGAGTATTATTAAAACCCAGATAAACTTCGAAACGTCGGCGATATTCATATATGTAAATGACTATTTTTTTTTTTAAACAGGAATATATAAAAAGTTACCCTGCCGATGGCTAAAATGTCATAGCTGTAAGCTTTATATATATAATATAATTGTTATAAATGTCTATAAATACTACTATATATTATATACTATATACTACTACTCTACTATAAAAAGTTATAATGAGTTTTTTTCAAATTTTTTTTATTTATTTTACAAAAACTTATATTAAATAATTTATTGAATTGGTCAACAATTTTTTATCAATAAAAATTATTTTTAATATTTCATCGGTTACAAAATATATAGTTTTCGTGAATATTTTGTCCGTTAGTTAACAATGTTAATTAAAGATTTTTGTATTTCATAATGTTTATCAACTTTTAGGCAAATGTGTATTAATTCTTCACTAATATATTAAATAAGTTAGGTTATGTTATTGATGCCATCGCTCTAGTACACTAACACTTTTAGACCCGTTATTATTGCAATACCACTGCTAATACGACATATTAACTGTTTCAACTTGCGATACCATTTTTAGTCCCCAATAAACACGAGATTGTGTTTAATTTTAGTGTTGAATAATTCCGAGTTTACTATATCATATATATATGTATGTTCAGTATTAGATATATAACCAGCCGTTGGTATCGACAGACGGGAACGAAAATTGAATTTAAATTGGAGTAAAACCAAAAGAAATTAAATCTCGTATATGCTTTTTGAATTTTAAATATTGTATATTATATAAATATACAATATATATGTATATTAATACATATATAGAAAGTTAAAGATAAAGAAGAAGTTAAAAAAATTTCTGTTTCATTAATGTCGACTATAATCTATAATCATGATATTGATTCATATAATTATTTAGTAAATATTGAAAAGTGAAGTATCATATATATTATTTATACTATAAGAAGTTGTTTATAATATTTTTATATGCTTGTAGTTAAAGTAAAAATATATGCATATATACTTTTAGTTGAGTCTTCAGTGATGTTTTATATTATATATATCAATATTTCGGTCCTTTCTCATTAAAGTAATGGTCTAGTGTAATTTTTGATATATTGTTCGGGTGATTAATTATTTTGAATTTCTACTAAAAAATTTGGTATATTGGTTAAATTTTTATTGACCAATATTGACCAAAATTTTTATTGAGAATTTTAAAATTGTTTAATACTGCATATATACAGTGATAGCTTGGAGTCTCAGGTATATTAACTTTTTAATTAAAATTCTTATATATATATATATATATATATGCTTGTAAATATCTATTACTAATGATGTGGTCAATCGCTTTTACTCACATTACTAAAATTAAGTAATGCTATTATCTTCCTGAGTAAAAGTTAATTCAATTTGTACATTTTTATGTTCAATTTTGGTTTTTTCAACTAGAACACCATTTCTGTTGTTTCGAGAGATATATTACATAAAGCATAGATGCTCCATAAATTTGGAGCATAGGGCATCAAAAACACTTTTTCGTCAATAGTTCGGTTTGTGCTTAAGGTTTATTGGAAGCTAGATCAAGAGACTTCGCTTCGGTTTTCGTTGAAGGACACCAGATCCTGACCGTATCGTTCGTTGCTCCTTTTTGGTAATCATATTGTAATATTTTCTTATTGTGTAGTTGATTAAAGTCTTAAGTTTAATTCTTTAAGCGTAACTTGAAGTATTTGTAATTCTGTTTTAAAATTAAAAAAATTGATTTTGTCTTTAATTCTTATATACCATAGCTTCGGTTTTTAAAAATGAGGGCATTTCCCAAAAAATATTTGCTCATTTTGAATTTTAATGTAAAATCTTCCAAATCAAGTTGCTCTTTGTTTTTAATTTCGTGAGAAGTCAACGTTGTCAGATATGCGCTTTAGTGTAGGCAGGATAGGATATAGCCCCCTTATAAAAAGCAAAAAAAAGATCTGTTTCCTGAAATATCTACTATTCCATACTTTCTGAAATTATTTTACTAGAAGAAAGTCTTCGCGTTCAAATTTATCTACTGTTGCTACACAGTCTGCCTCATATACACATGTCTAAACCTTAGCCTTTTGAAAAATTTTTTTTTTGAGCACGCTATTCTTATATGGGCGTTCTTTTCATTATGAAATATTGCTTCCGGCATATTTTTAGGAAACGGCCACAGTCCTATAAGTCTATCTTGACTATGTTCATATATATAGTTGTTCTTAATTTGAAGTTTACTTTTTTTCGCTTCTTTGATATATATGATGAAAAATACGTAACTGCATTAAAAGGGAAAAGTGAAATTTATATGGGGTTCGTTTTCACTGAAGTTCGGATAGGCTTCCTTATCAAAACTTTAAAGAACGAAAAATTCATAAAGGTGCAAATAAGTGAGCTA